TTCCTGTGATTGTCTTCATGCAGGAGGAGGCTCCCATAGTTTCTCCATTCACATAGAAATAACACTGATGCACAGAAACATGAACTGGAGCCTCACAGCTTAATGTGACTGAATCTGTTTCTGTGATTAATGATGAATTCACTGTTAGTTTAGCCGGAAGAAGAGCTGAAACAGAGACAGAGGATCAAATGTTCAGTTGTTACATCAACAACATGACCTTGATAAGAAATTATTCTTTAATCTGTAATAAAGGGAAACATGTTGGATTGGATTTAACTATTCACTTTGGACATGAGACAAACAGAAACAACAGTTGTTGCATCAACCTTATAACAATATTAAAGGAAAATTAAATGAATGTAAAAAATGTTTTTACCAAAGCATGTTTAAGATTCTCACAGTTCAATTTTACATTGTACTAGATATCAGGTAGTAGCATAGTATATAATAAATATTGACAAAAATCAGAAACTTACCTTGTACTTTTAACTCATCAAAAGAACCTGTAGGCCACATGTTGTTTTTTTTAAATCATTTACATAAACTGAATTATAATTGAATGTAAAATTTTAGTAAGAAAAAGTTATAATTCGTGTAAATAGTTTCGATTCAAAACTGTACTTCCTTCTCAGATTAAGCTACTCAACTGTACTATGCAGGCAGTGACAAAACAAATCACTGTTTTAAAATATGAAATTGTTCGATCAGCAGTAATTTACAAAAATGTTGAATGAATAACAATTAACTTACCCAACAGGATGAGAAAAACGAGGAGTCCCATCATGATGCAGAAAGTCACCGTTCATAACCTGAGAGAAGCTAATGAGTGTCTGCATACAGACGGGCATAAACTTCTCGCTACTTGCAGGAAAACCACAGAGACCATCAGAATGAGCTCATGGATAAAAATAAAAAATGCCGACAAAGATAATTACATTTCACAACACTATTTTCTACTACAGGGTGTCAAACTCATTTTCCTTTTGTGCCATATCAAATTGTTCTCAAGGGTCGTTTGTTTCGCAATGTACTGATAAAATCTATTAACAAACTATTAAAATATTAATAAATACATTTCTCTACACTCAGTAAGTACTTCGAAAATTTTTTTATCATACTGAGCATCGTTTCACATTATTCAGTCCATCTAGGATTTCGGGATTGTTTTTGTGATATTTTTGCAGTCAAAATTACAGAATTTGTGGTGCTGATTTAGAAAAATTTGCAAGAAATGTTGCAATATTTGCATTTATGTATGACTTTAAATGTGACAGCTGGCACATCATTACACATGCCAGCTGCATGTGTAATGATATGGCATTATGTCGGGAATGCCATATCATTCCCGACATAAACATCAAGTAAGGCGGAGGCAGAAGAAGTACTGTCACTTGCAGGTGGAGACAGAAGTCATTAAACCCAATGTTTTTGACCGCATACATTTTCTATAAACTCACTTCTACAGTTTCCAAGTAAATGTAAACCTCAACAGACAACAAAGCTTTAATAAAAAGTGCATTTTATTCAGGTGTGACCAAGTGACAATATTAAAACTGGAACTGCTCTGCCAAAAAGAAACCATTTAATTTAAAAAAGACAAACTAAAGTAACAAAATAATTCAAACAATTTTAAGAGAAAAATATGGAGTTGAGATACAATTATGGCAAGCAAAACAACTTTAGAATCTCTGACTGTATAAATGTTATTGAACGTTGGTTTCATTTCACATTTCACAACAGGAAAACCACGGACAGAGTCATAAATATCTCTCATACAGAACACAAAGTCAAAGTCAAATGCATCTACAGAAACAAAACAAAAATTATGCCAGCTGCATGTGTAATATCATGAAAACAGCACTAAAAGACACAGTAGTTTAGTTTGAGGTTTTTATACATAAAACTGTTGTACATCGTGTGGGTTGTACTTTGACAGTTATCTTATTCTGAAACGGCCCTAGGCCTTGTGAGCTGGGTTAGGTGTCCTGGCTTGTGCCTGACCTTTTAACTCCTTCTCTGTGCAGGTCATGGTGCTGTGGATCCAGAGAACAAAGCAATCAGATATCTGTCTCTTCTCCTCTCCTCCTAACACTTCACTCTGAGCTGCTCTCCTGCTGGGCCTCGTCTCATCGTGCACACTGGAGTTTATTTTTATTTTCACATCTCATCACTTCCACATGCATACACAAAACACAACCAACCTTTATCGTTACGACTCTGATGATACCGATGTTTACATCAGCTTTTGTTAACCGTATACTTGAACCTTAATAAATGTTCCTTCTATGCACTTTTACTTGTAATATGGCCTCCAGTTTTTGTTATGACCCTGAGCCAGTCATAACATATATTTATACTTGTATTCTATTAGCTGTACACAGATATTAATTGTTTGAGATTCATTGAATCAAATGAAAATGTCCCCTGCCATTCAAATGCTCATTTTTAGTCGTGGTCTTGGAACATGTATCCAGTTTACTTTTAAAGAAATTGACACCTTTATAGATATCAGATGAGAAAATTAACAGAGAGACCAAGACTTTTCAGTGTCCTTAATAAATCTGATTTTAAAAGAACTTAACAAATATTCATATTGCTGTTAAATAAAGAGGAATTAAATCACAAGTTCTCTGAAATTGCTAAAGTATCAACAGAAATGATGGAGAACCGAGGGGTGCGCACCATTTTACACCCAGCGCGAAAACCGGTGTGTTCCTAAACGGCTCGTCATGAGAGCCATATGCGAGCATACTGAGATAACCTGTTCAGATTCAAACAGCGGAGCTCGACCACATCAAGCATGAGACTGAAAGAAACACTAAGCTACTTGTTTTGGTGTTTAAAATTCTTCAGTAATTTTAATTAATCTGCTAAACTTAATGTTGCTAAGCAAATTATATCTGGTCTGCTCGTCTTTAGTCTTGTCTAGTATAAAGTCTTTGTCCTCCACTGAAAAGAAAAACTCCTCCCACTCCGGTTTGCATCACTTCTTTACGGCTCCTCCTCCGGCTGACTCGTAAGGAGTAGACCAACTGCCTGCCGTAGACCCCAATCAGAGTGATGCGAATCACCTGGTCTACCTACATAAAAATGAAGTCAAGGTCTTAGTTTTCAACGTGTGTGTTTATTTTTTGTCTCTTGTTTACGTTGCAAAAAACGATGCCTCCCAAAAAACAAGCAGCGGATCCTCAGCCTAGTTCAAACACTGCTCCTGCTGAAGAGCTCGATGAGAAGAAAACATCTGGTTTGTATACGAACGGGGAATGGTTCGTTTTTTTTTTTTATATTGTTTGTTTGTTTGTTTTAAGCGGTTTCACAAACTTCTCTCTGCAGCACGCTCCGTGGCGGCGCGAAAACCCGCAACTCATCCGCCCACAGCCGTCATGGTGAGGGAGGCGCTGAAAGCCCTGGACTCACGCAAAGGGGTTTCCTCCCAGGCCATACAGAACTACATCAAACAGAAGTACTCCACTGTGGAGCCGGTGAGGCTGAAGCACTTGGTCCGCAGAATCTTGAAGAACGGATTATTGAACGGGACGCTGGTGAGGCCTGTCAACGCCACCGTCACCACAGGCGCATTGGGGAAGTTCAGGGTAGGAAACTAAAGAGAACCAGATAAACTTCCTAACTAATTAATCTACGTGACTTGAGTCTTTTTCTGTCCTTGTTTTAAAAGCTTGCGCCAAAAGTTAAAGAGGTGAAGCTGAAAAGCGAGAACACTGATCCAAATGTGCAGAAGCCCAAAGCCGGAGCTAAGAAGACCCAGACAGAAGGTATTAAAATGCACATCTGACCTCAGTGGATTCATCCCTCACCAACCTTTTTGTTTCAGACTCCACCAAGAAGAAGCCAACAAATGAAAAGGCAAAATCTACAAAGGTAAGGTGAGATCTAACTGTGCCCAGATCACTGGTCTCCCAAATCTGCTCAAATATTTAAAAAAAAAATGTTACTGCATACACCTTTAACTTCTATCTATGCTGTATTGTTGTTGTTTTTTTAATCGCAGAACCCAAAGCCTCCAAAAGCCACAAAGGATGAGGTGGCTGCTCCTTCAAAGGTTCCTCCAGCAAAGAAGCCAAAAGCTAAAAAAGTTGAGGCGAAGGGAAGTGCTGCTGGAAGCTCTGAACCAACCAAAAATAAGACTGCAAAGGCCAAAGGGGCAAAAACCGAGAAGAAAACCCAAAGCAAGGCTGTAAAGTCGGGCAGCAACGCCCCTGCATCTAAAACTGCTGGCAAACGAGTGAAGAAGGCAGTGTAAAATAAGGAAACGTGTGTTTGTATATGTTTTTAGATATTTGTTTACAATAAATGTGTACTCTTAAAGTTCTGGCTTTTCTATTGCCCAGTTGGAACAAATGGGTCAAACATCTGTAAAAGGGCTATTTTTTTTAGAAGGTTTAAAAGCAAAACCTTGACTTTTTGCTTCAACTTGAGACTTGGCTTATTTCACCTTAACTGAGCAGATAAACTTTGGGGATTTTTGGCACTAATGTAGAGGTTACTCACCTTTTGTGCTCCATAAGCTTAGCAATTGTAGATTTCAGCTAATTATTGAAATCCTTCTTGCTTTTTTTTTTTTTTATTGGTTGCTGGCATGATTGCAAACAGCATCAAGTTTTAACAAGACCTGTCAAACGTACACTTTGATCTTCAAATACAAACCTTAACTTTCAAATGACCTCTTAAAGATTTACTTTAGGACTGGGGCAATAAGTGCTGGTGTGGTATACCACAGACCTGTTATTCACATGGCTTGAAACTTTTATTACGGGTATCTCAGAACTCAAGTTGCAGACCAAGACAGAATATTCAAGAAAAAAATCCTCTTAAAGTGACAAAACGGCAAAAGGCCTGGAGCCTTATGGTCTAAGGGTCATCACTAAGTAGCCCAGTATGGACAGAAGCACTAGAAGGACCGACCAAATGATAAGTGGGCCGTTTTGAACTTTTTCAAGGATTATAGGCAGAGGCTTCTGTTTTTGCCGTTGCTGTTCTTCAAGCTGCTCCAAACGGTACTGAAGAGCCCCCAGCACCTCCTGCAGACCAAGAAAAGATTTTACAAGTTAAGAATTTGCATCATTAACCTTGACTTATGAAAGCAGTTTGAACCATTTGTGAACAATGCATGAATGATCATTTGAAATGTAATTGTCAGGTTTTTTTGTGGCCCAATCCACTTTTTCACAATCTGCTTCAGTTTATGCAGTGGAAATTTGAATCCTAGGTTTTTTTTTTTTTTTTTTTAATTATGGTTAGTTTTAAGGTAACATTTGGCTTTGCCATGTGGCAAAGATGGCTACTATTAAGACTGTTCTCATATCAAACATAAAATCCAGAACTTTACACAGAGAGGTTCAACTGTGACAGGCTAAAGCAAATGACAGATTCAACCAAACAATCCAATGACACCAGTGCAGAACTTTCTGTCTGCACCTGGCACAAAAATCACATTCCTGCCTTTTGACTTTCAGTGCATCAACACCTCTGGCTACCACTGCAATATGAATCAATGAAAACTTACATGAATATCTGTCGTAGCTTTTAAAACCAGATGCTTGGTCATCTCCTTTGTACTGGTCAGCTCCTCTTTCAAGTTCTGCGTTTCATTCTTATAAAGTTCAGCGATGTCAGCAAGTCCCTTTGTTAAAACATCTTTGCTGCAAAACCGTTAAGAGTTTGTCACAAAACCAAATGAGGACTTTTTAAAGTATAGCAGTGAGCATAAATTACCTTGATTTTTCTTCTTCAAGTGCCTGCGTTATCATAGCAAAATCTCTGTGGTAGTTGGCTCTGAGGGTTTGCAGGCACTTCTCTTGTTGGATTTGGGTTTCTCTAAACTCTTGGAGCTCGAGGATTGTGCCATCAGGACCAGACACTTCTCCATCAGTGTGACGATCCTTTGTGATGGCAGATTTCTCATTAGCGCTGTTATTATTACTGCTACACATTTCGGTTGACAGATCATCTTCCAAATTACATGACAAACAATCCTGGTTGTCGAAGGCATCACTAGACATATCCAGTGATGCGTCACTGGATGCAAGGGTACTAGATCCGCTGTACCGTCTGTGAACAAACAGAGATTTTTTTTCTAAGAACTGACACCACGGATGTACACATCTAGAAAACATTTAAGAGCATCCCTCATCACATAGATATATTTAAAAAAAAAAACAAGGTTAAAAATTCAAAGCAAAATTGCTTAAAAAATGTGTATCTTGCAAAGATTAGTCTAATGAAACTCACGCCTCTACAGAGTTGATATTTGAGATCTTGTCATTTTAGTCTAGATTTTAAAGCAATTATTTTGCTTTAAAAAAAATAAACATTTTGACCCACAAATTATTCCCCTAAGATCAAAAAATGAACAGATTCTGGCATCTTTAAGAGTTTTTTTAAAAAGTGCATCTGTAGGCAACTTGTTAACAGCATCATGACACAAAAATACAATTTGCTCACATTTCTTCATTTGCTATGAAAACACCAAACAGCAGTTTGATAGGTGGAAAGAATTTCTTTCTGCACTAACAAGATTATTCAGAAAGTACTAAAACAATTTATACCTTTATAACAAACAGCTTAATTGCTGTTATCTTAAAAAGTTGTGAAGTGGAAGGAGAATAATTCATCATGGCTTTCAAAATGTACAATGTATGAAGACTTTTGCAGCCACTAACAGGTTTTCTTGAGAAGCTTTTCTGTCCGTGCTGAAGAAATGTACAGATTTGAGATGTTCAAAGCTTGGAATATTGTTTTATACCTTAAATCTCCTTTAAATTTCTCCAAAACTTCACCCTTGACCTTTCTGCTGTGATTATTAGTCTTCATTTCACCCTCTGGGAGACTTCTACTAAGTCAGACTTTAATAAGGGGTTTCAGAGTAATGGGGGCTGAACCTAAACACACATTTCCTTCCACTTCAGAAATATGATTTTTGTGATGTCTTTTTCACTCACTGCTCACCACGTGGGTTTAAAAGCCAAATGTTTTTATTCTCTGCTTTGTAACTCTTTCAGTTTAAAGCACAAAAATACATAATCCTTCCACAGTCCACCATAAGGATTGGACAGAGAATACTGTAAACAAGTGCAGAACTATGGTCATTTTCAATTATTTTTAATTTACTAGTATAATAGTAGTAATATAGTCTTTGTAAATGCCATATTTATAGAGTCAATTGAGCATTTCACAAGTGTTTATGGAATAAAAATTATATTTACAAAAAAGTAAGCTATAAGCTTTTAAAAGTATATTGGAAAAACAGATCGAAAAAAAAATAACTATAGCAAATAACGAGTTTTGAAGGTAGCTTCAAGAGTTTCAGTAGACCGAATAAATAAAACAGCGGAATATCAATATTTCTTGTGGTGTAACATATTTAAACTTGAGGATTCTAGTTCAGTTTGTCCAGTGCGGTAGCTACACATTTACACGACAGAAACCATTTTCTAACCTACATGGAGAACACGTGTGGAAGAAAGATGTTGTAGCTGGTATTTCTGGATTGTGATTTTTACCTACCTGGTTTTAAAGAAACTCAGCTTGCGAGGCATTGATGGTTGTTTGGTTAATTATCGTTAATAAAAGAACTTGTTCCAAGAGTTAAGCTAACGGTTAACCGTAGCTGTTGCGGTTCTGAGACGTTAAGAATCTTTTGATTCCGAACGCACAGGTTACGTTGCTAGGCAACATTTCTGTCGACCTTTGGTTTTAAATGAAAGTATTTCCGAGATTTTCCATTCAGAACAGACTTTTTTTTTTTGTTTTGTTTATTTTAAAGGCGGCTTATGCTGCAGGCAGTTTAAGCGTGATGAGTATATTTTTCTACCTCTGTTAAGTCTGGAAAAGGGAAAACAGGAATCAGATCACATAAGGCCTTTATTACATCAGAGTCCAATGCTTAGGCTCCTACCAAACTCAAACCTTTTTTGTTTTGTTTTTTTACAAATAACCTCCCGAGCGGTTTTTACAAGTCTAAGTTATCTTGTAAAAATAACAGACTATTAAGTTATATTTGGCAGAACCAAGTCTGAGTTCTGCTGTTTTTTCTTGCAATTTGATTTTACCAAAGAAAATTGACTGATGTTGATCATGAAACATGTTTTCAACTCAATTTCTTTTGCAAGGATGGCTCCTAATGTCCTAGTTTAATATGTTAAACAGTTCTTAACCCAATTTTAGTAGTTTCAATTACGAAACGTAAGAAAGGCCTTTAGAGCCCAATACTAACACCAAATGTTATCTCCGAGACAAAATGATTCACCTGTACATCAAAATGTTTGAAAATTAACTCCAATCGTCCATCCCATAAACCCTGACCTTGTGTTTGTTTCAGACAAAATAATCTAGATGCATTTGTCCAATAAAAAAATAGAAGGAACACAAAGAAGTTTTTGGTAATGTATTGCGCAACTTGAGTTCTTGACAATTGCACACAAATACAAGTTAGACCTTAAACGGAGCCTTTTAAAACAGCAAATTTATTTAGTTTTTAAAAATAAAAAACAAAACCAACTAAAATGTGTTACCATTTCATCATCACCAATAGAAACAGTACGGAAGCACTAAGTCTTTGAGCAAGTTAGCCGCTCTTCAAGTATGTTAATTCAGTTCGTAGATTATTCTTTCTGCAGTGAAAGAGTCACCAGGAAAAGTGTAGTCCAGTTGGGGGAGAGGGTCACATCTCTGGATAGTAGCATCCCGTTTGTGGCAGAACCAGTGTGTTCGACTCCACGCGTACAAAGGAAACAATTCAACGACCCACAGCTATTTAACTCTGTAACAAATGTGATCTCAGAGCACTGATGCAGATTTGCAGGCACCCGATCTTAAGCGATCTGGAAGGAGGACTTGGTTACATAAGCTGAAATGCAGAGATGGAGAGAGAGGGGAGGAAGCAAATAATAAAAAAATATAATAATCACAGAACCGAAAAGAGAAATTTCTTACAAAAAAGAAAACAAAACAAAACCTTGGGACACTAAAACCGCAGAACGACGTCAGCTCATCACCGTTTTAAAAAGAGAACCGAGCAAGCTGGATTAAAAATAGCAGTGACTTCAAAACGATACGATTTGAATAAACTACAGATATAAACTAAGGTGAAAAACAATGCAAGGTTTTCCACTTGTAAACAAATTCACTCAGAAGAGAGAAATCCAGTGTGCAGTTCTCTCAGCTCCTCCTTCAAATACGCCCCGTCAGCCTTGCAGCGTGTGCTTGTGCCTCCATTCCATCTGTGATTTAGAGTCGATGCCCAACTTCCAGGCTTTTTTTTTTTATCTCCTCCTCCTTGATTTTATTCTCCCGGATATAAAGTTCTCAAAGTGGTAAAGTGACAAACCTCTGTTACACTCCTGAGTGCTTTTAGAGAAATATGATCAACTGGACGATTAAGACACAACCTTCAGTATATACGTCTTCCCTTTAAGCGTTGACCTCGAAGCCCCCAGTCCCTTTCGTCGCTTCGATTAGTTTCTCCCAGCAGGTCATCTGGGGTTTAGCAGGAAATGATGCAGATACTCTGAAATGGCCTCCCAGTGCCTCCAGAGGAAGGCGAACAGGATCACGAGGAGCAGCGTGGAAAGCGTGCGGCTGCGTGTTTTCATCAAGGGGACAACGCAGTTGGCCACGGTGGACACGAACACCAGAAGGACAGCCATGACGGCCAGGAGTATGTTGATGAGCTTTCCGAGGAGAGTCCGTGCCGTGGCGTTCTCCAGGCCCTCCAGCTGCACCACCTGCTGCTGCTGCTGCTGCAGCTCCATCTTGGATATGCGAGTCTGACAAGCCTCCAGCGCCTCCTGGAAGAGGAGATCAGAGGTGTCAGATATGCACGACGGCAAAGCATCGGCGTGAGGGTCAGTCAGACGAAGCTTGCCTGTATGTCTCGGGCCCGTTCGTAAGACTGGTAGGCAATCTTCTCCTCCATGCTGGCTAGTTCCTGCTTCAGGTTCAGGATTTCATTCTGGTGCAGTTCTGTCAAGTCATTGAGTTGTTCTTCTAACCGTTCACACCTAAAAAACAAAAATCAGGAACAAAATATATTGTTAGAACCAATATCAGTGCATCTTGTTATGTCAGGATATCAACAAGCATTCATTTTCATTAAGAAATAAATAAAAAAGGAATAATAAGCACAACATTATTGCTAAAAGAGCTGGCTCTCCAGAGTGCTGTATCCAAGAAACAAAGGAAAGTTTAGTGGAAGAAAAAAAAAAAACATAGAAACATGTGCACAAGTAAAAGGAATAACTTCAACCTTTAGATGATTGTAAAGCTCTTCTAGAGTTTGGTGTGGATAAAATGTGGACAGCCGGTGGAGTCAGAGCTTCAAGCTCAAGCCGTGTTTATAACATGAGTTGAAGCAGTTGCACCCTTTGTGCAAAGCTATTCCAGAACCAGAGACAATATCCGAAGCGTCTTATCTCGACTAAGGAGAAAAAGGACTGGGCTGTTTAATGGGCCAAAGTTCCCTTTCAGATGAAGGCACACTTTTAAATTTAATCAGCAAAATCAAACCTCAATGCTTTTAATGATGCATAAATTTTCTTTTTGACACAGGTGACCATAGTTTAGGGGAGAGACAGTTATAATATTTGTTTTGAAGACATAAAGAGGAACATCAACCTGGCAGAGCACTGAAAGTGGCTGCAATTCCAAATACAACGCCATGATGACTTCAAAATGCTGCCAGTTTGTGTGGCAAACTGTAAACATTAACCTTTCATTTCTCATTGAACTGAACTTGCTAGGTGAAAACGTACCTGTATCGTTCTTCCTGCAGAGCCTCCATGATTATGGTGTAATCCCGCTGATAGTGGGATTTTAAATTTTCAAACGACTCTTCCAGTCGACCCTGGTTGTCCCGAAGCTCATGGATCTCATGGAGTAAAGCATCAAACCCCGAGCCTTGTGCATTATCCAGAGTGTTGCCCCTGGAGCTGGGGGGCCCACCTGGGGCCCCGGGCGTGCTGTTAGCTCCGGCGGACCCCGACGTCGCGCTCGAGCAATCGTCCTCGCTGCCGTATCTGGGGCTGGATTGTAGCTGTCCTGTTCCCAGAGGTCGCGACCCCCCCGGATAGCTGCCCTCTTCTCCTGGCGTTTCTTCCAGAGAGGCGATGTTGTCGGCGCTCCCAAACTTGTTCCGGATGAGCGAAGCGATTTCTCTGGGCTTGGACACCACAGCTCCAGCTGCAGAATGAGTAGCTTGAGAAAAGCTGGACAGCCCACCCGTTACCTGAGGACAGCAGCGACCAAGTCAGTGTCCAGTTTATCACTCATAAACTCAGACTGGTTCAAACAAACAGCAGCTTCAAAATAGTTTCTTTGAATTCAGGTGGTTTGAGGATATCAAGTGAACGTGGCAATCACTCTAGTGCTTTGGGAAAAGTGTACTTTTGCCATTTATTTTTAAATGACAGTCAAAATGTTTAGTTTTATTTTGAATTTATTTATTAAACAAAAAAAAATACATGATTGTGAGGTGAAAGGAAAAAAAATACATGGTTTCAAATTAGTTTTTCCAAACAAAAATCTGAAATGTGCTATAAAATATACATGTTGTGACAGGCAAAAACACCGTTTCTAGTGTTTTTATAATACTAGCAGATTGAAGAGCTGACTGTTTACTGTCTGCAGCCTGCAATAGGACAGTAAAGTTATTATCAAATGTGGCAAAGACTTTAACTTCTTATCTTTAAACTTCTGTGAGCAGAAACACGTTTAGGAAAAAAAAAAAAAAAAAAAAACAGAGTAATAAGGCGTTTCCCTTGTTGAGGAAGAAGCATGAAGAAGGTCTCACCTTGGCTCCAACACCTTTCAGACCCTGGTGCATGTCTCGGAAAACATCTTTGGGCTGCCGAGGGATGCCGTTGTGCTCCACCTCTCTGAGTTTCCGGTGGTAGTGCTCCAGCTTCCTCTGCAGCTGCTGGATGGTCTGAGCAGACTTTTGGTTCTTCTTCTCAAACACCTGCTTGATGCGCGCACTCTGCTGTTTGTCTGCATTGTTGGCCAGCTTCAGGTACTCGGCCACGTTGTCGTCGCGAGCCGTTTGTTCGATCTTGAGTTGTTCTGTGAGCTTCAGGATCTTCTGCTGCAGCTGGGCAATGGCCTGCTTGGTGCGCTGGGGGTCCGGCGTGCTGTCGACCACGTCGTACCCCTCGGCGCCATAAGGCAGGGCGTTGGGCGACACCGCAGGGCCTGATCCGTCGTACCGATCCAACTATTGAAAAATAACAAGCATGCATAAAATAAATAAACTCACCTTTTCAGAAAACTTCAAAATTCAACAGTAAGCTCACTAACAAAAGACTAAATTTCCTCTAATAAGGAAAGAAAGAAAGAAGAAACTGACACGAGAGGGTGGAAGGACACAAATAGGGAAGGATAAAAGGAAAGAAAGATATGACACAAGGAGAAGACAAAAAGGGACACATGGAAAAAGACAAGCATGAAGGATGCAGACAGAGAGAAAGTCAAACAGGAAGGACGGAACAGGACTGAAAAGACAAGAAAGCAGAAGGAAGGAAGGATTATAAAAGATGGAACAACTAGCATGCAAAAGCAAGGGAAGAAACAAATGGAGAGAGGAGTAAAGGAAGGAGAAAAAAAGCAACAAAAAATGACAGAAATAATGACAACTTTTTAAAAAAAGAGGATTGAGAATTTTCCTCATCCTTTTTACTTTCTTACCAAATTCATTTAGAGCTGAAATACTGAAATCAAATCCCAGACTGCTCAAAAAAAAAAAAAAAACAGTGTAGAACAGAGGTGGGCAATCCTGGTCCTGGAGGGCCGGCGACTCCCAGATGTCTCCCTGGTCCAACACACTTGAATCCAACAGCTGAATCATCACTTAAGTGCAGTCAAGTTCTCTGCTAATGACCTCATTATTTGACTCAGGTGTGTTGAAGTGGAGACACATCTAAAAGTTGCAGGAGACCGGCCCTCCAGGCCTGGAGGTGCCCACCCCTGGGGTAGAACAACTCTTCAAACTCAAAATGATTTCCAATATAAACATAATGCAGCACCATCACTGACACTAAAAAACTGAGAAAAATCTCCAAAGTGACAGGTTAAAAAGATTGTTCAGACAATTGAATAATTGTCTGGAGTTAAAAAAGAAGATATGTGATTTGTTGGGCACATTCCTGCAGCAGAACTACCTTTATACATTTTGGAAATTGTTAGCAAAGCTTAATATGTCTGAATGTTTTTGTTAACTTTACAAAAAAAAAACTGCATGTTGACGTCCGCAATAAAAATGTAAATTCTCATTTATAACAGCAGATGGCGCCTGTAAAATGAAAATAACTGCAACCCTCATCTTCAATCATTACAAAATACATTGACAAGCAGTCAAAGAAAGTGATGGGAGGGGAAATAATGATGTAAAAAAAAAAATATATGGTTCTTTTTTAGCACATAAACTCCTAAATATCTACTGAACAGCATTAATTAAACCATTAATTAAATCCGTTCCTGAGATTCAGTCTGAAATTAACTGACTGAGTCGTCTATAAAAGCTTCTCAGAGACAAGAGTTAAAAGTTGCTGATCATTAGTTTTGATAAAGAAATGTTAAAAAGATTGAAAACCGAGTAAAAAGAAGCCTTCAGTGATTCCTCTAGAAATCTAACACTTTTAATCTTATACAAACTTTTCAGTCTGCACAGAGAAAAGGTTTTTTTTTCCACTCTGTAGCTCTGCTGACATTAGAAATAGTCAATGAGGCAAAAAATCACAACCACAGTTTTATCATAATTTGTCTATATAAAAACTGTCCCTTTTAGAGAAAACTGCACAGCAAAGCATTTAGGTTTTAATCAATTTGAGCATTTCTGTTCATCCTAAGTGGGTTCAACCTAAAAGGTAAACAACATCATGTAAAATGGACTTTTGGCTCTGGGTCAACTCGCCTTTTTGCCAATTTGTGCCTCAGCATTACGGCTGGCCAATATGAACTTCATCATTATATTTTGTGGCATTTTATGGGATAACGACATAAGAAATGAGAAAATGTTTTCAAATCACAACATAAATGTCTCTGCAAACAGACAGAGGCACACAAACACTAAACTGCTCTAAAAATATAATATACACATTAGTAAATAAACTATTTCAGATCCAGCTATATTAGATTGTGTAGCTGCAATGCTAAAAGCACACAGTAAGTGCATTTAATATGTTGAAATATATTAATATTGTGCCACAACGGTCTAAAAACTGTTGAAACCACAAAGTAACATTTCCCAAACGTGGTTATATATCTCACATTAAATCCCAATTCTCATCATGGTAAACTTTAATATAAACAATTTGATCGTTGCCATTTCATCTCCTTCTACCTGCACTAAAGCCATTAGTCTTTTTCTGCAGTTGCTGAAACCATTAAGGCAAATATTTTCTTGAATTATTACTGCAAATAATCACACATATGTTTTAATCTCCTATATGCTATCATTTAATTGAATGTCATTTGCTGAATACCTAATAAATCCTACTTGCATTTATTTTACTTCTAGTATCGACTGGGAAAATTGACTCTTAGAAAATAAGACAGATTGTTTCCCCCTGATAAAAAAAAAAAAACAATAAACAAAATGAGCAACCTCTGGCTGGCAGATAAAATTAATTGGACTCATTTTATCTCCTGACCATTAAGTAGACTATGAATAAATTATAGAAATATATTTCAAACTACCAGTTTTCTGGCACTTAATGGCTGAAACTACAAAGGTATCAAAAGACGCAATCAGCAGCAATTCTGACTCATTTGCTGTACAATAAATAATTAATTAAAAGCAGGAAAATAAAACTAATGCAGCTCATGGAAAAGCCCTGGACAGATTGGTCTGCATTGACGATACTGTAGCCTCTCTGCTGGTTTAATCTGAATTGTCAGTTTTTGACAATTTCCTAGCAAAGCTGTAATTTAAAAGCAAAATGTTTAGAGAATCTCATTTAAGAAATTTTTTTTATCTGCTGTGTCGTAATGACTTAAATTAATTATGTGGTATTCTGGGAGTGGGACCTTGTTGCTGCAGGGTTTATATGAATAACGCTTTAGCTTGAAGAAAAACAAAACAAAGACACTGTCTGGAAGCCACTGCATGCAGGTAATCAGTGGTGTAGCAGGTAACTAAACAGAGATCGGTGAAGTTCTCCTGGGCTTCGGTCCAGCTGCACAACGGCGCGGTCTGGTACCACACAATGTGAAAACACCCGGCTACTGCCGTCGAGATCAGAACCTCCCAGATCGATAACTCATCAGTTAAACATTATTCTAATCCAAACAAAGGCTCTTCTCATCTGCACAAACGAGACACGGCCAAATCTGATCAAAACACTTCCTCCGCGTTTGATAAATAATAAATGTCTCTGTGCGGCTGAATTAGGAGTGCGTCCTCAGTCCAAAACGTTTGGTGGAAATAACAATAATTAACATTTTTACGTAAGCTGTCAGTTAAACCCACGTCAGTTTCTCTCTGGTATCATTCCCCCCATTCGAACGTTCGGCGAGGCCCGAAGCGAAACGTTAGTTTGTTTACCCCGGCGAGCTTTCTCTGACCTGAAGTACACTGAGAGACGGCAAAAGCTAAATTTAGCGCGGCTTAAAGCACATAGTGACAAACCAGTCAAAGGCAATCTCTGACCTTCCAACGCTGACAGCTCATCTCCCCACTCAGCGGAGCATCCAGGACACAACGGGAGACTTTTAACATGATTTCCCAGTTCGCTTGCTTTGCGAGTTTGAGCATGAGTCACCTCTAACCTTTTATTTTTATAATAATAACAAACAAAAGCTGAATACAATCCATTTGCTGCCTCCACAGTGAACAAACTCCTTCAAAAGCCAATATGACTGTTTTATACCCAGAGGCCAAATCTTCTAGGAACGCTTTAGGACTTAAATCATAGGCACACTTCACCACAGTGATTGTTTATTTTATTTTCCATCACACCTCATGTTTATATGGAGTGCATTAAAGGTCAAAAATATATGTTGTATTTTATTGTTATTGAGTTCACCTCTTCTTTTGACTTGCCTGTCCAAATGTTGGTGTTGCTGATTATTTTTCATACTTTTGTGGTAAATAAAAACCCACGTTTGAATTAAACATCTGCTTGGTCAAAAGCTATATTGTGTTTTGTTTTGTTGTTTTATTTTTCAAAGAAAAGCAAAATAATTTTAAATTAATGTTTGCATTCATTTCTTTATCACATTTAGTGCCTAGGGAAAGTGTTCACACTCCTTGAAATATTTTCACAGTTACAGCAACAAACCTAAAATGTATTTTATTGAGGATTTAAGTGGAAGAAAGATCATAATATGTGGCTGTTTTGTGATTAAAAAAATAGTATATGGGGTATGAATAATTTTTCAACACACTGTATTTGAACATATTCAGCATTTGAAGGATGCAATCGTTATTGATCCTCTGACGTTGTTGACGTTGTCCCACACACCTGCAGCTGTGTGGGACAGACTGATGCGTCTCAAACAGCTTCGTTCCTGCAGCTGAGATAAACAAACAGAGATTCAAACCTTTCAGTGACTAACGAGTCAATTCTGATTTTTAAGGTCACAATTCAAATTGGAAACAATTTTTGATTCTAAATAACTTTTATTTCAGAAACCAGTTTTTCTATTGAAATGGTCTAGATTCTGGTTAAATTATGTGACTGACGAGAGGAAAAGAAGTGTAAACAAACAGAACATTTAATTAAGACATTGCTAAGATACTGCATCAAATTTAATCAATTTATATTTAAACAAAAACGGGTTTGTGAATAAAATTGTTACTTAAATGATCAATACTAGGTTAATTTATTAAAGGAAAAGCCTTTTGTTTAAGGCTTTTCCTGTTTTTGTTATTAATGACCTGTAACTTCTGTGTGCTGCTGCCAGTCTTGGCCAGGATTCTCTAGCAAAAGATATTTTTAATCTAAACTGGATTTTCCTGGTGGAGTAAAGATTAAATAAAATAAAACAAAACATAATTGATTTTTTTCTGCACCTCTAGTGGTTCTTATTGAATTTTGCATAATGTATTTCATTCATATTTTTATTTCAGCATGGTATGTATACTCTCAGGATGCTCTTCTGTGTCCTGCTTTGATTTGAATCTGACTTGTGGAGCTTTGAGCTCGACTACATGTGAGTGGTTCTGGTTCTGCTGATGTGCTTCTGCTTTTTGTACATGTACGCTTTGTGCCGCTGCAAAATAAACCTTCCTCTGGGTAAAGTAACCTAACTGGACCCGTTGAAGGGACAGAGTCACCCACCTTGTCGGGTTCTTCAGTGGAGTGGTACCCAGAGGTCAGCAGCACGTCCGCCAGGGCCGGGGTGCTGGGCGTGTCCGTGGTCGAGGAGGAGCGTGGGCGTCCCGCCTGCAGCAGGGCCTCGTGGGTGCTCCGCCGGTGGATCTGCGGGCTTCCTTTCTGAGGGGCCTCCCCAGAGCTCCCCGCTTTGCTGCGGCGGCTCTGCAGGCTGGTGCCTCGCTTCATGATGGGCGGACCTCGGATCTGCTGCAGTACCCGGCTCAGAGCTGCGGGAGGGGCGGAAGCGGCAGGATTGTCAGAATCCACGGAGGGGGCCAAGGAGCCCGGAACGTCCCCTACTTCTGACCCTAGGTCGACGGGCTCGGAGGGAGGGGCGCTCGCGCAGGCTGAGGCGGAGTCATGTGGGGAAACGGAGGAGCGTCGGCGCTGAGGCTGGAAGAGCTGCTTCAGGCCGTGCCCCAACGCTCCCATGTTCTCCAGGGCATTATGGGTGATTTTGGACAAGCCGTGCTCCGACTCCGACGCCCTCCTGCCGGCCTCCGGCTCCGCTCGGCCTCCTGCGTCCGGCTCCTCTGGACTCTGCTCACTACTACCCTGATCCATCAGACCCCTCCAGTTTCACAGCGAGGCACTACGCGGGGGCTGCAGGGGACTAGCTACGCCCCGTCCACACCCCCCTCTGAGAGGCCGGGTGCAAGCCGGGAAGCAGAGGGGACGCCGCTCAGCTGGTGCTTTAGAGTGGGCATGCATCTGTGGCTCGGCTCAATGTCATGCTTGTCTACCACAAAAAGGGAAATAAAACGCATTATGACATGCGGCTGTGAGGAACATAAAAAGCAGAAGCACAATGCGAAGAGAAAAATAAAACAACCAATAAAAACTGGGTTGTGTCAAGACCACATCTATGCACTCTCATTTAACGTGTTTAATTCAAATCTGATCCAGATCATTATTCATCACGTCAGGAACGTTCAGGACAATGGATTCGAAAAACGTGTCAAACTCTGTTAAAAAGCCAGAACAAAATGAGGCCATCATAAATAGTTTTAGAGCCAATTAACTGAACGACAAACTATTGTCAAACTATTTAAAAGAAAAATCAAAGGCTGAAATAATGTGGTTTTGAGAATCTAGTCTTCTCTGGTAAAATTTACTGACTTTAACGTTCTAGAGCTTGGAAATAAATTCAGGAGCGGTAACTCCTTTAAACGTGAAAACTTTCCCGTTTTAACGAGAACCAAACTCGTTAAAACTACAAGGCCTTCTTGTTTTAACGAGATTTTGTAAACTTGTAACAACAAGCTTTATATCTCATTAAAACCAAAATATCTCCTCTTTTAAGTAAGAAGGGTCGTAACAGCAAAACAGCAACATCTCCTGGGATTTTTACAAGTCGCCTAGCAGAAACAGTGTGAGGAGAGTCAAAGCGAGTCCCAACATGCCTCTTTAACAAATCGTAAGCTGCCGGAGGATCGGATCTCTCCATCTCATTAAAACTAGAAACTTTCTTGTTAACGAGAAAGATTCTTGTTTTGCATCTCATAAGAATATCCTGCTTTTTACGTTTCTGTAAAAATGTCACTGTTAATGTCAAAATACTCTAAACAGGATCCTGAAATCACTTCTAGACTCTGGATAGGAGATCAAAAACTTTAATCTCCTTCTCTTAAAGTCATTCGTCTGTTGAAAAATCTCACTCATGCTGATGAAAAAAGACATAACACCACAACATGATGCTGCCACCACCATGTTTCACTGTTGGTTTGGTGGTTTTTCAATGTGGTTTCAATTCAATAAGACTGAAATTCAACAAAAGTCCAACCAAATATCAGTACAAGGGTTTGCACCAGGATTACTGCAGCTTTTTTATTTTTATTTTTGTTTGATTTTCATGTAAATTGCACCAGCTAATTGCCATATTGAAATATGGAAAGGTTTTGAAATTAATAGCTGAGGTCTTATACCACATAAAGCTGGCATTTTAACCAAAGTTTGCACGATTTTGAGAGTCAGTTGTTAAAAACAACGTGACATGTCTTAAAAGCGTCAACCCAGAAATGCATAAAATTCTAACCTTAGATAGTAAAAAATCTTGTGAATAGTTTCTGAAATGTTTACCACAGTTTCCTACTTGTGTCTTCTCTTTTCTAGCAATTCAACAAACGTCAAGCCAAATTATGTTGGAGAATAAATGGACACATTTCAGAAAGTATTCAATGAATAAATTAACTAGTAACTAATGAGTAAGTAACTAATTGCTCAGATGATAATTCAGAGACAACAGAGTGTAAAATAAAAACTAAATAATAAAAACTGTGCTCTAAATGAAATACAAAACGGAAAATGACTGTGATCCAGTTCTCCTCCATCCACAGCGGCCTCCTCTCTGCATCGCCTGCCTAACGTGGCTAAAACCTGCAATGTGAAGGTTCAGTCCAAGCATTTCGATTCTTTGTGTCGGTTTCAATTAATGACAATTTGCTTCTCTTTATCAAGATGTAACGACACGCTCGGAAAGGAAGCAAGGAGGAGAGAGTGTGGCAGAGCTTACCATCAGCCCAGCCTCTTCTCTTCTGACTCACAACTCAGGACGAGCTAAATGAAGCACAAACAGACAAAAATAGATCCTTCATGCAACAGAAAGGTAAAAACTGACTTATGAAAGCCTCCACTCTTTAATGAGTGGCAGCAACGGATACAAGAGAGAGTGTCGGGGCAAACCACGTCGAAGCAGCTGGCCGCATGTCAGCACTAACGACCCCGGCAGACCTTATGCTTTAAATGTGAAAAGTTCATTCCTGCTCAATCAGCCTCATTCTGTTACAGCCGCTGTTTTAGACGACATGATGTTCACATAAAACGACATGAAAAAAATTAACAAGTCATCAGAGCGGCACTTACAACAAACATGAAAACATGGCGGATGCAGCTTTGAGGAGCTCAGGAGACACACAGGGTGAAGATGCTGGGATGGAATAATTATTGATTCATGACCGAGTTGTGAGCCAATCACCTTAGAAACAATTCATTCATTCATGTATTCATTTATTCATTCTGAAACTAAAGACTCAAAGAACACGGCCAGTTATTTAAGCTCAAGACGTTGAGTACAGGTCAGAAACTTTTGTAGATTAATTAATTATATAACATACTCCATCACTGCTTTTAATAAGAGGAATATGGATTTATCTTTGAATCTATTATAGGCCTGCAAACTAACAATTACTTTATATTCATCAGTTAATCGATAAAATAAATTGGTATTTTCTGCAGATTTTCAATTTAACCAGTTAAGTTTTGTATTTTATATAATATTAGAAAAACATAAAAAAATTATTCCTGTTTTAAATAAAAAATGAGCCTTGTATTGCCTAAAATGCAATAACAAAGCATTCCTTTAGTGTGAAAAGCTCAGGCCTTTCTGCTTCGGTTGTCATCAACACCAGGAGGAGCTGAAGCTCAAACAACCGATTTCGTTTTACCTGAGGGGGACAGTTTGGGTCAAACGGCTGAAGCAGTCGGGTTTTCCAACAGAATCTGATCCCAAACATCTAAAACTGGCTTTGGGATGGATAACTTCAAACTTCTTAGATATTTGGAGACTGTGCCTTACGGCTAGTCAAAAAAAAACATTTTATAAGGAATATTGGTGAATATCAGTGGGGTGTCTAATTTATTATTGCTGAAAATATAAATTACTCTGACTAAAGCTGCACATTATATTGAAACACATGGTGGGATTTTGACATATCGGCCTGTTAGATGGGTTTCCAGTGACACTTAATGTGTTTATTGTGGCTGTGATGAGAAAGCTCCTAATAGACGGTGAGGACATAATGATGCAGAAGAAAAGCAGTCAGGAAAACGTGACTTAATTGTAGTCAATATCATTGGAATTACATATTTTAATATCATGCAGCTCTGATTTTGACTTTGTGTAGATTAGAGAAAACCCACCATAAATTCAAACAACAGTTGCCATTTTTTTTCTTTTTAGGAATCGCTGGAGTTGCTTCTCTAAAGCCTCAAAGTTAATATAAAATTCATGAGTGTATAAAAACTTATAGCTGGAACTCTAATCACATTTGTATATGTGGGAATCTAATTTTGCACCAAATTTACTTCCTAATGGACACTGCAGTCATGATGAACACTGTGCTACTATTATAACCTTTTAACTAATCATGTTGTTCCTCTGCAAGCTTGTATTAAAGCAAATTGAAAGCAAAGACAGTCCTCTTGTGGATGCTAAGCTAGCAGTGAACATAAAGGGATGCTTTGTGTGCACAGAACGCCTTCTTAATCACATAATTGCAGCGTTAGCCTCATTTGTAGGCACGCTCTTGAATCACCCTGAATGGGTGTGCTAGAAGATAATGTACACTGCATGCTTCACTTAGTCTGAAAGAAGGCATGGCAAACTCCACGCGATAGGTTTTCTCTACCTAGGACACAGACTGCTTTCCAGAAAACAAGAAAAACAATCCTCTGAGTCAGCACAACCATGAAGTATCACTTAACAAGCCAAGAGAGCAATTGCTCTTCCAGAAACAAAAAAAAAAAACGATCCACTAGTGTTGAGCTGTGACTCATTTGATGCTGATAGATCTGCAGTTTGATCCCACAGCACTGAGGCGTGTGTGTGTGTATATACACACACTCTTTCTAAACTGAACCACATATCCAAAGGTTGCTCCACCTTGTTATTGGTGTTCTCACTACTGATGCGTAATTCAACAACACCTGAGAGCGAATGAAAACTCCAACAGAGCCAAGCTGTCGGCATCAACGAATTCAAATAAATCAACCACATAAAGCTCAGTTTATGTTGGGGAGCGGCTTGTGTTGAATAGCATGGAGCCCCTGATAGCTGCATGCAGGTTGTTATGGCGATGCATCACACTGACTTATATAACAGGACTTCCAGTTTCTATATAAATCCTACAGGACAAAAATGCTTCATCTACAGGTGCGTTATCACTAAAAGCTGATTAACTTCAGAAATTACATTTAAAAAGTGAAATTTGTGTATTGTATAAATACTGGATAAAGTATTTCAATCTTTATTTTATTTTATTTTATTTTATTTCTGGTCATTAGATTATTACATCAGAAGAATAATTATTTACATCAAAGAAATGAACATTCATGCTAAGCTATACTTAGAATGAAGGAAGTACTGGTCGACTTCCTCCACCAGTAGGAAGGTAATTGCCATAGAAGCTGATTGTATCCGAGTATACTGGTGAAAAGTTGAGTGGAAGGAAAAACTAGTTGAAAAATCTGTTTAACCTTGTTGCTTGTGTACCCTTTACTACAACAGTTTTTCCATCAACTTAACTTTCAACTAATATGCTAGCATGCAGCACTCTGAAAGCCAGTTTCTGACCTTTTGTGGCTTAACCATCCATCTGGAGGGCATCAGTGACTGACAGCTAAAACACTGTAAGGTCAGCGGCCGTCGCCTTGACTGTCTTGGCCAAAACATTAAAATTATTTGTTTTATTTTCTGAGAAGCTTAGCTGTGATATGCAGTAACTTTCATCAAGTTCATTAAGACAGACATACCCTTGTGAGCGCATCCAGTACTTAATGCAACACAAACAAAAAAACACAAAACTGCAAGCTCCAAATTAAAGGCAAGCAATAATGAACGCTCCACACAGATGTGGAACTACATCCTGCATCTGCAGAGAGAACACAATGACATCTGACTCCTTCAGGCTGACGTCTAAAGTAGGTCAACCAGTATTCACCTGCCACTCTGCGGACGCAGCGCTCCGATGTCACACCGGCTGCACCGTCCTGTGCAACCGAGCTAACATTTTACTTGTGTTAGACTTTCAACACAGGCTGCTTTCCATGTCACATCATTCATGCCATCATTTAGGGATTATTTTAACTTCTATTATCCAGTGTTTGATTGCAAACGAACATTACTCGGTAAATAAGCTAAACACATATATTCTTTTAAGTGTAAATATTATCATAATGTAGAAGTTGAATAAAGACAGCCATGAGAGCAACTCACCTTCACATGTGGTCATTTGCAGCAGGTCTGTGCGTTTATGAACTCAGGGGAATAAAATGCCTAGCAATCCAAGCCGATTTCCGGCCAGGCTTCCTCCGGGTGACTTTTCCAAATAAAATAGCTCTTGAACTTTAACCCACAGCTTCCGTGGAAATTTAGAAAAATCACATGCTGCGAAACAAGAGGAAAAAAGAAAAAGAAGCAGAGAGCATTCAGTAAATAGATTTTCTTTTTGTGAGAAGTGTGATTGTGTGTGCTTTAAATACGTGTTTCTTTTTGAATTTACACTACTGTTCTCAGTTTTTATTCTGTATTAACTTTATGATTTATGGAGCATTTTTAAAGCTTTTTTTGGTTTAAATGCGCTACACACTTCATACATTTAAAATTTAAATCAGGAACTTCTAACAACACACTCCTAGTCTGAAAGCTGCGTCAAAACAACAGTCAACAACTTTGTTTATCACCATTATATTAAAATGATGGCCCTAATTTGACCTCATTGTCTGGAAAAAAGGAAGTTAAGGTTTAATTTTAAATCCCCGCAGGGTAAAGCTAACCTCACATTAAAGAACCTAATCCGTTTCATTCTGTTTCATTTTGTACAGCGCCAGCCTCGGAGGACTTTTAGAGTAATTAACTGTGAAATGTTAATTAATAGTGCATAAATGACCCATGAGGACGCTCACAAGACATTAACTATTTGCTGGTCTTATGGAAATACAGCTGAAGTAAAGTTTTGCTGTGGTGATGTGATGTTATAAACTATACTGTGTTGAAGCTGAGGTTAAAGAAACCATCCAGCCGTGGATTTTATGTGTATTAACAAACATAGACGGACAATACAGTACATAAACAGTTAATAATATATAGCTTTCCACCAAAAGAGTTCTTAAAATACAAAGGTTTTATTAATAAAAAGCTTCCAATTGAGCGTATTTCTGTTGATGACATCACAAGAGGCACAAGAACTGAGACGATCTGGACGCATTGGCAGATGCAATGTGGTTTATGAACATTTTTCCTCCGTGATTTAACATCTCAAAACCTTAATATGCAACTACATAGTTTCTGGTGTTCATCTGTCTTTGCCGGGACATTCGTCTGATTTCGCTCCCTGACTCAGACCCGGTTCCTGTCTGACTGAGGAGCGGCTCGGGTCTGAGGACACACAGCTCCGGTAACCACAGCAGCGCAGCCCAGAATGCAAATAAAACAGGGAAATCTGACTCAGGCCGCATTAAACTCAGATTGTTTCAAAACTGTTGTGCTTTAAAATGCACCAACTATGTGAAAATGTGCAGATAGAATAGACTTTAGGTGAACTGCGACCATCTTGTAACTCTCATCTACACACACGGAGCCTCTGCAGCAGCTCCAACCAAATGGGTGAATGATTTACAATCCTGTGCAGTTTGATTGCTTTAGTCTGCATCCCGGAACATAAACCCTTAAAACTATTCTACATTTACTGAATAAAATCTCTGAAATAAAGCTTTGACACAAGCATTACATCATCTATGTGCAGAAAGCAGAGGACTGCTTTTCCTTTAATTAAATGTTTCCACTGACCATGGTGGATTTTACCTATTTATTTCAACACAAACTTTGTTAAAACACATATATTTATATGTTGGGGGATCTACATGTTGTGTTTACAGACAAAATATAAAACTCCACCTGTGAGATTTAATGTTAGCAGGAGAGGAGATGACTGAAATAAATTGCCGATTCAGAAGCATTTCCATTTGAAACAAAAAGAAACATATAATTGACCAAACTCAACAAACTGCAGCTGCCTTTTAACCTGTGTGCTTACAAGCTTGTTTTTGGGATGGAAGATTTTATATTTACATTTTTATTATATATTAAAGGAGTTTTATGCAAACTGATACACAAGTCCTTATTAACTACCAGTTGTGCATATTCTTTAATTTACACTGAGTAAAAACACAGCCAAGCAATAAGGCACAAATTTCCACAGCAGAATTTCTCAAAATACAAATCACACTGAAAGGGAACCAAAAGCTAATTCTGCTTTGTGTGAGTTTAGACTAACAACCTAATATGTGCCAGAACAATCACTCTAGTCCTCTGGTAATAACACACAATATTTTTCATGGATTTTGACTTTAATTCAGAAACACTTCTGATGAAAACACCAATAAATACCAAGAAACATATGCAAAACAAACTGATAAGTTGTTTCTTGTGATGTCAAAAGTGAGATTTTAAATCTAGTAATTATGTTTTACGACTAATCTAAATGATTTAAAGCCAGTTTGACTGATTATACAAGAAAGTAGAGTGATATGCAAAACCATTTATAGCTGTAACAGTTTAGAGAGCTCGCTGTGTGTAACCCTGATTAGTTCAATAACAGCCAAGCAGGTCACAGGTGCATCTGGCGTCTTCATGCACTTTGCTTGTTATAACCATAAAAACAGGACGTTTTATCTAGTAACTACCTTGCTGTGATGTAAGGCAGGTTTTGCAAGTGCAGCTGTTAAATTACAGCAAATACTCTGAGGTCTGCTGTTAGCTAAAGGTAAGAACTGAGTGACATTAGCACCCTGCTAGCCAGTGGTCGCAGGCCGGGCCCTTTAAAAACACAAAACTGTTAACAATTTTCGCAGAATAATTGTATCATTTGTAAGTATCTTACATCGTTTTTCTAACCTTTGTTTTATTTCAAATCAAGACGTCGTTGTTTCAACTTATGCGGCTTGACTGTGCAACTGATATGTAGCATTGGAAGCTAACGTGGTGTGCTGGAGGGCGTTTATTTTATCAGAGAGCGCACACCGGTGCTGCTGTGCGGGGCGAGGACGTAAAACCTTCATGTGAACAGCAAAACCAGATTAAAGGATTTACAACAGCTGCCTTTTTCATCCAGGAGACTAAACGCACGGCTTTATTAATTACTAATCACTTAATGTAAAAAAAAAAATGCACAAACAAAAGCGAGCCCATAGTTTCTATGCCAACAGTCCTGCAGTTCATAACATACAGTTGTTGCCATAAATATATAAAGCTGGTTTCTAAGTTTCACTCTCGTATTCGGTTTCACTGACCACCTTGACATGATTTGAATGCAGAAATCAAATTATCCTCACATTGTAACGTGATCATTCTAAAGTAAAGTTGCTTTCCTTTGCAAGGCAGCATTACATCTCTGAATAAGTGCAGCAGCTCTATTACAACAGTTATGTCTGACCATTAACATATTGTAATTGTTTGAATCACAAATATAGCTACTGAGTAATAAATATGGAGTTAAATACACATTGTAATGTAAAACAACTCGATCACTTTTCAGGAAAGCTGCAAACCGAGGCAGTGGCCAAAAACGGTCCTCGCAGGTGTTAAAATCTCGAAACCCCGTTTAGATGGGAGGTATTGAGTTGCCATCTGTCACATACTCCCACAAGCGTTCCCGTATCACACCTTCCACTCTGCTATTTCATGGTTTTTAATTCAACACTTTGTGAGCGTTAACTTCATCAAAATACAAAAAAAACCGAAGAACTATTTTTAAAGAATCATAACTGAATGTGGCCTGGGTGTGTTCGTGAAAGTTAAATCTTCTCAAGTTGTCACCATAAGCATTAATTCCGCCTCCTTTAATCACATTTAAACGCACTTAACATCGCCCATCTTGGATCTCCTGGGTGGCAGATCGGGCTTTATTCGCCGCCTGTCCACTCAGCCCGTCAGCTCCCCGGCTAAAAAAAAACATCGCCTCGGCTTCAGCCATGGTTAGCTACAGGCAAAAAATGGCACACCGCCAGGCGGCAGCGACAGCAGGGTAAACACCGCAAATCCACTTTTACCCTATCCGCCCGGGGAGGGCAATAGCATATGGAAATGCATTTCATTCATAAAGCAGTTCGTTACACAAAAAAAAGTGCATTTTAAAGGCTTCAACTTACATGGGCGCTGAGACGGTTGTGTTGATGACCGTTCATTTCTCCCGATGATCGACACTCCCACGGTGACGTCAAATAGCGTGCTCAACGTCAGGGTATGGCAAGCAGTTGAACACATAATCAATTCAGCTGTAATTACTTTTTTCTGCATCAATACGCCCTTTGCATCGTGACGTCACGCAGGACCGTTACACTGTTTTCGTAAAAAAAAAATTTTGCCAAAAGTGAAAGTCACAAAAAAAATTACTTAAGCCATTATTTTTACAATATATTGTAAAGTGCTTACAAGCTGGATACACAGCAAGAAGTCCTGACGTTTTTAAAATGTAATAAAGGAAAGGTGAACTCGCATCAAGTCAAAGTTAAATATTCGCATGCATACTTAAACAGTGATAAATATAAAAAAATATATAAACTATGCAATATAGGCAAAGTTACAACATAAGAAAAATAATACTGTCAAGTTATTTAAAAAAATAGAATATTCTGACCAAAACCAAAATCATTTTAATAAATGTACAAAATATGCATGTATATTTTGCATAAAGGATTTTTAAAAGCAATAAAAAAATGCAAAAAAAAAAAAATAGTGATATTATTTGAAATAAAGAAAAACTGTGCATATGTAAACATGGACCTTTGTTCACCTATGATGTAGTGATCTGACCCTGAAGAAATTATCTAGGTTATTAATAGCTTTATGCATAGGGTTGGAGACATTCTCCAACAGTGATTATGTTTTTTTCCAAATGTTTTTGGGTGTTATGCCAAAATGTGTGTAACCTAAAGAAAAATTTAACATCTTGGCTGGCACCGACCTAACCACATATGGTCTCAAACTATGTTATTTAAATGCATCATGCATTTATTTAAAAATAAAACTTATCGTCTCTGTAGTCAGAAGTGAAAATTTGAAAATAGTTATTTCCTTTGAATTTTTTTAAGTATGTAAATTAGAGGTGGTATAGAGATATAAAATGCTAAAATTTTATACCAAGATATATTAAAAGCCCGACAAATATGAATGGGAAAGTGACATTTCTCTTACACAGAACATGCTTGAGGTAACCTACTATATGATGAAATGGCTTGCCATACATTCCCAAATGAATCACCAAGGTGAGCAACTCAGCGAGCAGGTTTACACGATGTGCTTTCATCAATATGGTCACAGTCAAGTTTCTTTTCTTCAACATTCTTACCGTGTTGAGTAAATCATACATTTAGATGACTGATACCGAAAGTAGTTAATAAGTTGCACATAAAGTGTAATAAAATGTCACAATAAATACCAGTAGAGATACAAAAAACGAACTAGAAAGAAACATTACACACCAATGAGGGTAATGAATAGAGATTGCTCTGGAATATGCAGTACCTGATTTTCCTAATAACAGATTAAATATCACGTGTTACACTTTAAGTTGCCATTCCATTTCAAAACAGTTTTAAAACATGTGAAACTTTGTCAGCAAAAGAACTGATCACAATTTGTTTTTTACATATTTATATTGTTCAATGGAGACTAAATGGAGCATGTCACTAAAGTAATCTTAAAATTAAAACTTTTTGGCATCTGTGCAAGTACATAAGTGTAAATACAGTTTGGAGGTTGTACATCAGACAATGACTATGAGAAAGCTCACAAGATGTATTATTGCTTTATGATAAATATGAATTTTATGTTTTCTGGGGTTACAATTTGTGTAAACATCTGAAGAAAATACATTCCACTTAATTAGCATAAAAACATTGGAGGAGTAACATTTTTATGCTACTGCCATTATTGGAATTTGATATTCCACGTGGAAGATCAAAAATGATCCGAGAGAATAATCATGGTGGCTCAGAGGTGAAAAACATTAAATACACAAGGAGAGAAACTGTTGATACATTTTAAAAGTATCCTTTCAACTGAGCAATTAAACGAAAGCAAGGGCTTGGCTTTAGAGTGTTATTTCAGTCGGCCTTTTGAACAAGCTTATTTTTTTCTGTCCAGTTTGCTTATCTGGGTTTTACAGTTATAACCCTAATCGGCAACAAGACGGAAGTAAAAAGGATTAAATGCTTGGAGAGGTACTCCATCCAGGTCAGCATTTGGTCCCTTCAGCCTTGATAGTCAAGTAGATTTGCAACAAATTAGAAAGTCAAAAAGTTCAGTAATGCAATCCACAAACAGAAACTTGTGAAAATAAACGTTAATCTTAATTACAACTAAAACCCAAAAACATGTCACCTTAGTGAGTACAGCATCATGTACATTAGTATTTGTGTCAGTTTTGCATGACTTACTGCATCAACATTATGAGAATGAACGCCTGCCGTGTCCAGGATGCCCACACTGCCTCAGTATTGGCCTTTTGTAGTTTCCCTTCTGAAAGGGTCAGTGACCAACACTCAGCAGTCTGTATACAAACTGGGTCAGTTTGGCCATTGAGATGACATTTGTTGTGCACTGGTGCAAATATAGATCAACTTTATTCAAATTTGACTTTGGATTGAGTTCCTAAGACTATTTCAGTACAATTAGATGCACTTGTATTTAAATGCATTTAGGGATATCTTGTCAATCCCACAAAGCAAGCAAAAGTTCACATTAGAAAATACAAGGATTTCCATTTAAAAAAAAAAAAACAGACCAAAGTAAGTTAGTAGAAAATGCATCTTCAACATTTATTTTCCAGATGAAAGTATTTCGTTTTCAATTTCTTGCAAGCCGTCTGACCTCAAACACTTTTATTCAGTAGTCGAGTAATCAGCAGAGGATGACACGGCAGAAATCAGTGGCAGTAAACCCAATCCATGATGGTCTGAAAAGTTCTGGCAGAACCCTGGTCAGATGTTTGTTGGTGCGGGTAGAAAGCCTGCATGGCGAGGTAGACAGGTTGATGCTGCTGCTGACTTGATGGAGCTGGGTGTGAAGAAGTCATCGCTGGAGGATGAAGAAATGCAGGTATGGAAACCTGCTTGGGAACATATACGGGAGTGCAACAGGGTGTTGGTATACAAGCTTTTCAGGAGGAGGTGGGTCAGTGGAGGCCACTGGAGCAGGAGCATTTTGTAACTGGGAAAGATGACTGAAAGGATACAACATGGGGATCTGGAAGACCTGAGGATGGAGATGCTGTGGTTTGGGTTCTGCATTGGCCACAGTTTGTTCCTGTGGAGATTGTGGGTATTTAGAAAACGGTGCAAAGGGATACTGAAGCAGCGCTGGAAACTCTGGCTGCAGGGAAGGCTTCCCTGCAGCCAGTTGTGTGGTCACAACAGCCTCTGCGCTTGTTGCAGGAAGTGGTGTGGGGGTTGTTGGCAGAAAAACTCCAGGCATCATGGGGAATTCTTGGAAAAGTGGAACTGGATACCGAGACAGTGGTGTCTGAGGTGACCGGAGTTGACTTGTGTGTGCATTTCCATCTCTATGTGGATGCACTGGTGATTCATATCCAGGAAACAAATAGAAGTTGGGCAATAAAGGAGGGCTCTGATTTTCAGGCATCTTCTGGTTTTCAGAGAAGTCTGCAGCAACATAGGAAAACGGCAACGGAGCCACAAGCCCAGGATTGTGTGTCGACTGCGTTTCTAGGAACTGCGAAAATACTGGCAATTGAGGGAGCTGAAGTTGCAGGGCTTCGTTGCCGTCAGTAGAGGGTGCAGCTCTTCCTGTGCTGAGGTCAGAGTTTGGTACTGGAGGACAAGATGCTGCCAGTTCAAAATCTGCCCACTGAAGAGAGAGTAAATACTCCCCATCCTGCAACACAAGACACAATCAGAAGAGAATCTATAGCTCAGTTTCCATGATTGACCACAAGAGGGCCTCATCATACCTTGACCTCTACACACAAGTCTTGGTTGTAAGGTGCGATGAGCGTCAGTTCACTAAAAGACTCATTAAAAGTCAGCCTGCAGCTGCTGCATGCCGATGACAAAGGCTGCCATGTCCCAGACGCTGCAACAGGTTTAACACAAGAAATTTAGCCAAATGCGTTTTAATAGCTAAGATGATTCATCTAGATGCACAGAACTAATGTCCATTACTGGTAACATTTAACCTCCATCCTGAAAAATTAAAATGAGTAAAATAAAGGCTACAGAGTGCTTTGCAAAATACCGTAAACTTTTCACATTGCAACCAGAGTGGAAGGCACTGGGATTTTATACGACAAATCAATACAAACATCTGATTGGATAAATGTCAGTATTAAACATTTTCAAGTCTTCGCATAAACCAAATTTGTGAAAAATCTTTTTAACCTCGTTTGCATAACCTTTGTTTTTAGAAAGAGCAATTACTGATTGTCCAGAGACAGATGAAAAATCTACAATTATGACGCATTTACAAAAATATCAATATGCATTTTCAGGATCGGGCTGCCTTCAGCTTCTTGCATCCTCCCACCAGCTCTAACCAGTCCTCAATTGCTGTCATGTGGTAATATATTACATAAAGTACACTGAAGTTTGTGGTTGCAACATGAAAATATTCAAAAAGTTACAACCATTTTTGCAAATCACTGCTATAAACACAACATGCCTTTTACTTTGAGTTCATTTGCTGGAACACCGCGAATCGTCACCACCATCTTGTCTGGAAAGCAGAAAATGGAGGGCAGTGGCAACATATCAGGGCAGGACATGGTCATCGGTTCGCCCCATAATCGCAGTGGTAAGGAATATTGATCCCCCTGTGGAAAGGAAGCCCGAGGCAAGGTTGACCTTATTTTTATGATGTTAAAACAAAATCTGGCCCGGCGAAGAATAAAACTTCTACCTGCTTGTTAACATGACAGCCCTGATAGGAGGCCGCATACTGCACATCTCTGCGGGATCGCTTCACAAAAAAGCCACATGTAGAGGGCATCTGGGACAGAGGAGTAAGAGGCTCCTCACCTGTTTGAAATTCAAAGATGATGTTAATCTTCTCTTTGCAAACTGAACAGCAGTTCTGACTCTACAAAATAAAAAAGGGCCCAACCGCTGTCGATGAGAAAATGATGAGTTCCTCTCCGTTTGACAGAGAGGGTCATCTGGTTGCTGCCGCAATGCACCGATGGAGCCAGGCGCTTCAGCTTTGCAGAGTGCAACGCTAAAACACAAGTAAAGATTAAACCAAAGACTTCTGCCCAAAGTAGATTTGCTATAGTTATACACTCAAGTGTCATTATTCATTTAATTAAAAAGCAGGGAAGCAGTCAAATAGCTAAAAGGCAAACAGTTCCAAAAAAAAAAAAGTACAAAATATTTCCACGTTACTATTAGTTCTGCTAAATTCTTCAAATGCAGGCCTATAAATCTAGAAAATATTTACATTAACTTTGTAAAAGACTAAGCGATATTCTGTATATGCTAAAAAAAATAAATAAAATACAGAATGCGCTGATTGTGAAATTCTCTGCAGCTCATTAGCAGCCATTTGCATTGCGTTTCCAAAGTTACAGGAGATCAGTAACACCAACGGGATCAAATAAATGTTTCATTTTAAGAAATAAAAAGACAAATCCCTTAATAATTGTAACAGCCAATACACAATGTCAAAGCCATCTAACTAAACTAGTTGGTAAGGAACAGTGTTGGAGTCTTACTAAAACACATTTTTTGCAGAATAAAAACATTTGCCTATTATTTTATCCAGTTTATGGTACAAACTGTGGCTGAAGGCTTCTGTTTGGTCATTTATTCACACAGTTTGCAATATATAACTGAAGCTTTTGAGACATTTGACCGACATCAAGGCATGTTTGTTTAGCTCATTTTACATGAATGCTGTATAAAAAATGTGCAGCAGACTGTAGTGTTAGGTCAGACTACAAAAGGCCTGATTTAATATCCCAGTCGGTTACCGACATTTTGTCAAATGCCCTGGCTTCCTCAAGTTAATTTTCATCATGATGGACACATGAGGCTTTTCTGGTACAATATGCATTATTAAAAAAATTAATCACGACAAAAAAATATATATTTAGTGGTACTTTAGTCCATAAAATTCCTTTTGAGGGAATGGCAACTCAATTGAAAAGATGCTTGCATCAAAAACGAGACATTTGGCATCATAAAGTATAAATTTGCTCTGCCATGGTTAATTTACATGATGTTCTCAGCATTAATTTATTTTACCCCGATGGTGAAAGATTAAAAAACGCTTTTTTTCATAATAAATTATCACATAAGTCTCTACACGATTGAAAGCATGCCATGTGACGTACCAACACAACTCCTTAAATATGCAAGAATATACTTATATGCTAATAAAACTCACCTTTGGTGGAATTAAAGTCTCCCTTTTGGTCATATGTGAAGGTCAGTGAACCAGGTTCACCTTTCCGACCAGACCCCACCCGGCTGAGGTGATGACTGCCTGGGACTGCTGCAGGTCTTTCCTCCTCCGCTTCACCAGAGAGTCCAGCACACACAGTGCAGGACCTCAGGACGATGGTCAATGCAAAATACGACAAAATACTCCTCAAAGGCATCACAACTCTTCAGACTGTACAGCTTGTAAAAACTGCAGCTAATCGTCAGGAACTCCGTGGCGTCCAACGACCGAACATATACTGTACCTGAAATGAATTAACCAATCAGGCAGCGGTACGTCACAAAGCACACCTGTCTGTATTGCAGTGCTGTGATGACGATCACGACTAAGATATTGTGTAGTAAAAAAATAAACATAAAATGTTGTTGAATTTTAAGAAATAACATTTAAAAAGAGAGAGAGTTGTTTAAGATTCAACCTAAACATGATGTATGTTTGTGATTTTTGCAGTTACTTTGTTATGTTATGAAGATATTTTGAAATGATATACAGAGTTATATTATATTATATTATATTATATTATATTATATTATATTATTATTGATAGTTTGGCTAACTTTAAATGAAATCAATCAATCAATCAAATGAATTTATCATCAATTTATTGAACACATAAAAACATTAGATAGTGTTTGTCTGGGATCTTTAACAGACTAGCATGTAAAAACAGAGACACACAAAAGATCAAACATATAAAATAAAAACAATAATGTTTTATAATAATATCCAACAGACCCATTTACAGAGGGAATGAACTTCTCTGTTTCTCAGTTTCCTCTGCATGGTTTTCTTTTGCCGTCATGCTGCAGCTGAGCTACCACTCCAGTTTCTGCAGGTCACAGCCTGAGCACAACACTCTTTAGCAGCAGTAGCAGAAGTATTTAAGAGAGCTAACAGCATTAAAATCTTCACAGTATTGCAGAGAAAACTACAACAAACATTGCTTCCTATATTAGCATTCTCAAAATATGAGCTGTGGTTGAATGATCCTCTTCTTCATTTTACTCATGAACAAGCAGGTTGTTTTCACCTAACTCAGGCCTTGGTTTGTTTGACATCTTCCCTACACTTTTGTTCAATATTCCTATGGATGAGGAATATATTACTATTGTGGTTTCATCTGCAAATGTAAATGATCAGGTTTAACTCTTTTGGGGTACACAGTTGTGTTGACATCAATAACCTGAGAACACAACTTTGCGAGAGCCCAGTGGGATGAAGGTGAAAATGTTTTTTTCCAAGGTCGACTGACTTTGTGTCAGAACTGTTAAAGTTCATTTAAGGCATCATTTACTTTTGTTTCTTTTGTGCATTTTAAAATCAATCAACCAAACAAAATGTTAAAAATGTACAGTTTACTAAAAATCCCACTTATGAAAATTACAGATGAATCCTATTTTTAATAACATAGTTTTTTAATATGTGAAACAATGAATACATTTTGCTTTATGAAGACTCGCTGTATTAGTCCTAACATTTTCTCTTCTGCACCAACCTCTCCATGAGTTTTACTGGTTGAAGAGCCACGTCAATGAAATTTCTCCTTTGTCCCATGGAGTGGTAAAACAAATGAGACAGTGTGCAAACCATCTTGCTTATTTAAAATATTTAAAAACTATAAATAGCTTGTTTGAAGAAATGCTTGAGGATGAAAAGCAAAGGCCAAATGCTTTGAAATGTTAGCTGTGAGCCAGAGTCCCTGATAACACAAAGTGGCATCCTTTTGTTCTCAGAAAAACAAACAGATATCAAGAGCGTAATAAAAAAAATATATATATATATATATATATATATATATATATATATATATATATATATATATATATATAAAACTGATAGCCATTGAACGAGTTTGACATTATGTATTTAATTCATTTTTAATTCATTTTCTTTGCTTGCAAATACAACATAAAATCCTTCCAGCATTTATAACTAAACAAATCTGATACAAAATAGTGTAGAAATATGATGGACCTTAATAAAAAAAAACTCTTGTGTTCTACATAACATAAACTAAAACTGTAAAACTATGCAAAAAAAAAAAAACAGTCTGTCCATTTGTAGTTTGCTCTCCTTTCAGATTGTGTCCTAAAATAAAAACACACCAGAAAAGACTTAAGAGAATAAATCAAAAATCTATAGAAATATTGACGTTATAATTACAACTAAACTGGCCTTTCCTAGAAATTAGCAAAGTTTTCATTCAAAATTAGACCTTTACTTAATGCAGCATAACACTGTGAGTTTAAAAAAAAATAATTTAGCATTTTTAAAGACTCTATCCTAATGAGCCTAGAGATCGGTAACGTCGTCATCAGACCAGTCATTTTGGAGCATCACTCCTGTAAATTGTTCTCCCGTTGGTTCAGCAGCTGGAGATCCAGTCCTGCTATTAAAATCTGGTGTGGCATTTACTGACTGTGCTGGCTCCTTGGCCTGGAAATGGTCTAAAGATGGAGAAATGGACTCTGTGTCCACCATCCACCCGTATCCGACGTAGGCTGGGGGAAACGTGGTTGGTCCCCTCGCTCCATCTGTGCTCAAACTTTGAGTCCAAGAGGGAGGGGGAGGCGTGAAGACAGCCCCAGCTATGAGCTGCCCGTGGTAAAGGGCATTGTCAATGCTGAGCCTGAGGTTGATGGGAGACGGGGGTCGCATGTCGAACTCTATAAGTGAGAGGACACATTCTCGTTCTCCAACTTTCTGCCACAGCAGCGCAGTCTGAGAGTCAGAGCTGCTGATGCTAACAGGATCAGAACTGTAGTCCAGTTTAGAGGGAGCCTGCTTATCATCATGCAGTGCATTGTTGCTGATACCAGATCTAGACAGGCTATGCTTTGCAATATTGTTTGGCATTAAGTCTTCCAAGGATTTCTCTGATTTTCCCCTCAGGCCTCTTCGCATGCTAACCAAAACTCTTTGCCACCAGCTTTTCTTTACTTCCTTTTTAGAGATGTTATCTCTACCCTGTAAATCAACACCTCTTGCTTGGCCTTTAGATGGCGTCCAGAAGACCCAAGATCCAAGAAAAAGGACAGAGAATCCCCATGCTAATTCAAAAATCCTGGCCCAGAACTGACTGAGCCACCAACCCCAGCTAAAGTGCCTCCAGCTCCCCAGGAGCCCGTAGAGCCAAAGAACAGTGTATATCTGAATGGTGCAACAAAGCACACCAAGGAAGGCGCACACAGCCGTTACTCGCTTCCCGAGCCTCTCGGTCCTGTGAGAGGGAACCCACTGTGGGACAGCAGATCTGGAGAAATGTTGTGAGTGGGAGAGGGACTTGGTGAGGATTCCCAGGCAGAAAGGGATAGCCCAGCAAAGGGAGGCAGTCTGCAGCAAAAGAGGGAAAGCTGGGGGCAAGGTTGAAGAGTACAGATCAGCTAAAAGTAAGAAAGAGCAGTGCGATATACCGAGTACTCCAACCACCCATGGGGAGTGCAGCTTTGAAGGGAAAGATGTTACTTTTATCCCTCGGAGCGTGACAAGAGCGAGGACAACCTGCACCCACAGAAGAAGCTGCAGAGGAATATTATGTAGAGCTGCCAGTGCGGCATGAGGCAGGATCTGACGGGTACCGTAAGGATCGACGAGAAGGAGGGTTGTGCGTAGAGCACCTGCTACAGCAAGGAAACTATTAGAAAGCGTGAGGGCATCACAAAGGGTATGAGGAAGAGTGCACGCTCCAGCAATTCCCAAAAGCGCCAGAGCTGTTATCAACATGAAAAGGCTTGCAGATCCAAAGACATGCAGCTCCCAAGCAAATGCCAGAGTGCGGCTCATGTCATCCCACAGCAGGCTGGTGCCATTGAAGCTGTTAAAGATCGTGCAAGGCGAGACACCGAGCATGCATGGGCTCCCAGGTCCAGACAAGCTGGGATTATTCACGAAGGTAAACACACTGGTTTGGACTGGGATTCTGGAGTGGTCTTCACCTGAAAGAGAGAGATGTCTTATTTTTACACAAGAATTAGATAAAGAATAGTGGCCTTTCACAACCATGAGCTTGATTTGCATTCCAACTAGGGCTGCACCGATTACAGTTTTCTGGACGATCGCCGATTACCGTTCTTTAAAAAGCCTGACCTACTGATCTTTACCGATCAGTAGGTCCTTTCGGACCTACCGACTCCAATTTTGGCTGATTCATCTGAAATGTTGCTAAATATAGCAACAAAGTTGATGAGTTGGTAACAATAGGGTTACTATTGTTGACTGTGAACGTGAAGATGTGACCTGGTGGGCCAGTCTGTCAGTCAAACCTCTCTGACAGGAGAGCAGAAGAGGACAGTGGTTGATTTTCAGACCTTTGCTGAGGTAGATAATATTAGTGGATCAGCTTCACATGTAAGTATCAGTTGATCACCGATCTCCCAAAATTAAGGAAATCAATGCTGATAAATCAGTGCCAACAAATGCCTCACTCAAATTCAGCAGTGAGAATAATATTGTATTTAAGCTTTGCAGTTCAAAAGTGTATGAAGACAAGCAGCTTTAAGTAAACGGTGCTCCACCATTGGCTTTCTACACGTCTGATACAGCTGTGTACATAATTTGATCTCCAGCTAACTTATATCGACACAGATTTTCTTTTTCTTTTTTGAGCATGCCATAGTAAAACATTCAGTTTTCCATTTCTCGCCTGCAGTGCCACTGCTTTACCAAGTTTTGCCTTTTGCATTGTAACCGTTGCAACTTGGAGCCACCATGTTTATTGGACATGAGTAACTTTGCCACAAAATTTGGATAAATGTTATTCAAATCGCACCAATGAGGCAGTAATGAAGTTCAGATGAAACTGACATTAGGTTCCTCTGACGGCCACTTTAAAACATTAAACCACATGGTTTACACTGTATGTAAGCTTTTACATACAGTAAAAATCAAGATGTCTTAAGAACATATAATTATTCTGCCATTTAGCAAATTCTAATAATTTTGGTAATCTTAACGAATATAAAAAAACAAATTCAACTTGAGTCCATGTCAGATGGTGATGAAAAAGGTTATAACTTTCAACATACAGTTATTTACTAAATCAGAAAATCCATTCCAATTTGTTGGACTAAAAGTACCTCACATTTCTATATTAAAATGTTTTTTGGGGTTTTTTTTATTGGTCTGATGTAATATTTGAATCTTAAATCTCATGTTTTCATTGAAAATGCTTAAAATTGATCAGAAACCAAAGGTTTGAACTCATCAATCTGTGTGTAGTTAATCTATATAATGTGTTTTACTAAGTGACTGGGGTTACTGAAATAAATCAACTTTTAAGTAATATTTCAATTTACTGAATATGACTGTAAATATCTGGTTTTAACTGTACATTATGCTAGCCAAACATATTCTAGTAATCTGAAGGATTAAAATGAGATTATAATGTGTTTGAGTTTAAATCAAGTTTACCTTTCTGCAAGTCATCATCCAAAGGCTCGCCCTCAGAGATCACAGTGGAGCGTTCAGATCCTGGAACTGAGTCTTTGGTTTCGTCTGCTCCTTGGTTGTAGACACTTAGTGCTGGTCTTGTGGTTAATGTGATTCCAGTTCCTGAGTGGTTTTCATTGCTCAGCCGCTCAGACTCCTTTCGGACTGCAGTCTCCTCGTTGCTGAGCTCCAGTGAAGTCAGGATGTCAGCAGTCTGTCCGCTGCCCTCCACAAGGCTCTCTGAACCAAATGTATCTCCGCCGGCTACATTTTTCAGCCTGTCAGTGTTTCCGCATGTACTCTGAGCTGCTTCAACCGTATCAGAGGCGGCTAATGTGCCCAAAGTCTGAGTGAGACTTCCAGGTGAACAGAGAGATGCAGTTAGAGCGACGAAAAGAAAAGTTGAGAGACCCATTTTTGTTGATTTACAGCCACGGTCTGTGGAGACAAAGCAAAAAAGAATTGGGGATTAGTCATCACATCTTTAAGAGAATTTATTTTTGAAAGCATCCTTAATTAAAAGCATTTTTTCACGAGGAACAAGTGTTTTGCGGAATACTATTTAGGATAATTGCCAATGTGTTGACAGTAGAAAGATTTCAAAGGTTAAGACTCATTTAAACAGAGATCTCCAAGATGATCATGTGTTTTAATCCTGTAATTCCCTGAGTAATCCAAAGGGTTTACAATCCGCACAGCATCTGCAGACGGTTTGACCCAGCAAAAAAAAAAAAAAAAAAAAAAAAAAAAGGAGTAAACATAAAGGTTCACAGTATGACTCAGAACTATTTGTGCTGTTTGGTATAAATGTTGTGATGACACTTGCGTCTCTTGTGAAAAATGTGTAATAAAAGCTATAATGACTATGTCTGCTTTTACAACTTCTTACTGTAACATAATCAGGTACTTTGACTTTTAGATCCAACAGCAGTTGAGATTGCATTATAAATTTAAACACTTACAGTTTAGGTAGAATAAGATTAAATACTGAGTATCCAAAAGAAAAAAAAAGCTGAGATTATTGTCCATTCAATTTAGCATTTAATCATTTACAAAATAGTGTTTTGAAAGCAGAATCTGAAATAAAATATTTATTATTCACACATTTCAGTATTCAGCTGCAAGAACAAAATAACCTAAAAACAAAAACTACATGATAACTGCAGAGGTACCTGTTGCTCCTGCCAGTCCTCTGCCTTCCTCTTCGGGGTTTCAGTCGTTGTGCTCCATCTTTATTGCTGCAGGGCTTCTCATTGATTTCTACCGTGGAACATAAACGTCTCACTGAACACAGAAACTGAACAGAGGGTTTAGAGGCACGCTCGCAGACGTCTAACCTTTCAAGCCGATGTCTTAGTCCTCTTACTGCACCAGCTGCTTCCTTGGCCTTTTCCCGTCCAGGATGACCTGAATAGCTGCAGCTGCTTGTGAAATGTAAAAAAAAAAAAAAAAAAAAAGGTCTATGAAAATCAGCTGAAAAAGTTGCTTTTTCGTTTTTTGCAATATACAATTTATAGCTTTTTTCTTTCTTCTGGATTAATGAGAGCCTGCAAAAGCCTCACCTGACGTTTTACAACATTTGTTTGAAGGTAAATCCCTTTGCAAAGGGATTACTTTAAGATCCTTACAGTGGCACCGAGTCACATGAGGCGATGATGTGAAGCCAAGAAGACACGAGCACATGCTCAGTTTATGACAACTATTATTTAGACACAATACCATATTTCACACCTGGAATTAACTATGGACTGAGGATGGTCTGTGTGTTGTGTGATAAAACATAATTGCTAATTAATTGAGTGTCCTCTATCGTTGATATGAAAGCAGTTTGTTTTTTGTCCCAGTCACAAACTTTAATGTACTTTATTTGGATTTTATTTGGTAAACCAACACACAGAAGCACATTTTGAAAGCCAAATAATGCTAAGTTTTCAACATTTTTTGCAAATAAAAATATGAAACATGCAGCATGCATTTTCATTCAGGCCTGGTCCCCTGTGGTTTGTAGAACCACATTTTACTGCAATTTCAACAAATCTTTCAGGAGATGTCCTCATAGAGACTGAAATTTTGCCAGACCTTTTTGGCAACATAACTTACACTCAGTCAGACTGATCAGAGAGTAATTGATTACGTTATCTTTTGAGTCTCGTCACAGATTCTCAGTTGGATTTAGGTCTGAACTTTAACGGCGTCATTCTAACTCATGTTTTGATTTGTTTTCCATTGTAACTCCGACTGCATGTTCAGGATCATTGCTCTCCTGGAATGTAAACCTGGGTTAGAGTCTCAAGTAGTTTCAATTGAAATGCATGTATGATTGAAATGAAATTATTATGTTTTTGTAAAATGTCTTGATATAGCATGTATTGTGATTTGGTGCTTTACAAATAAACTAAATTGAATAGAATTGAATTAAAATCCAAATAAAATTGAGCAAAGTTTGGAGAATGAATACAGAAAGCTGCACTGTACATCAGAGATAGTAACTTACATTTACTTGAGTCCTTTTGGGGGGGAAAGGTGACTTTAAGAGTAGATTACTTTTTACTTTTAAATAAGTTATATTTTTTTATGAAATATCACTACTTTTACTTGAGTAAAATTTCTGGATACGTTACCCCCTGCAAGTAACTTAACTGGATGAAGAAGAAACATGTTTCAAAGAAATATACATGAGCTACTGACAGATCTTGTTGAAGTGAGTCTTCTCTTTTAAAACTGTTGACTCTGTTGTATCATATTTTTCTCTCTCCTTCTGTAAGATGTTCTGTTGTATGATGTTTTAATGTTTTCTGAACGTGACATTGATGAAAATGGGAATTTTTCTCCTCCATCGATACCCGGTTAAATAAAGTAAAAGTAAATATACAACCTTGTTATTATTATGCTGTTGTCTATATGCTGAGCTTGCCATGCCATTTGGAAATAATGCAAAATTGTTTAATCTGTTTACTGTTTGAATAAATAATGCATGCAATTATATTATCTACTGTAAATATTGGTTTGAAACTGATTTGATAAACTGTTTATTCTCAAAAAATGTTTTTTTTAATTCATTTCTATTGCTTTATGTTAAATTTTGGTATTTAAAACACTGGAATCTGCATATTATTTACTTTATCTTTTTGTTTGTTTGTTTGTTTTTTTACTTTATCTCTAGTAAAAATGTGTTGAAGTAATGCTGGGTTGTACGCTACCAACTTCTGCAATATTATATCCTACTATTACATCAACAGAGTCCTTGCAGTATCAGACGATCTGCGGAGAGGGCTGATTTTAACTCTTACCTGTCCAGGGAGTGACTGACTCTGCCCATTCAGAGGGCGCATCTATGTCGGTCCACCTTAAGAGCAGCACGGGGCAGTTTGTTGTGGAGCGAGCAGGGGGACGCCCTCAGTGGCACATGCCTGGCGCTTTAAGGCAGACTGGGGAAGTTAGATTTTGTTAAAGGTATACACATTCAAATATTTACCAGGCTTCACATTGGCTATTGAGGGAAGCACTTTAACAATAACGCGTTTTAAATGGGTCTGCAAATCAGTTTTTATTGGGTTTTGATCTATTTTATCACACGTCAGTTTAAGTAAACTTTACGAAACGAGGAGATTTGTAGATTTTGTAATGTAATTCTTTTCAGATGTTGTGTTACAGTATTTAGATGTGGATATGTTGCACTTTTCACTTCCAATTTATCTCACTGTGGTGATACAGACAGGTATAATTGTTTTAATACGCTGCATAAGATTTATTCATTATTCTTTTGGCGCCATCGTTTATTAAACCATTAAGAGGACTAGGTATTTGTGTCATGCTATATTTTGGCCACCATTAAGTTCTGGTTCCAGTCATAGATGGACACGCAGCTGGTTTGGGTCCCAGGATGGGAGCCTCAGTTTAGGTTTGATTCTCGTTGCTTTCAGGGCCCATACCGCCGACATTTTACTGCTTTCTGGACAGCATACCAAGGCGGGTTTTCTTAATATGCGAAGTGTGCATCTCAGAAATATTTCCTGGGATTTCAATCAGCGCTGCACTGGAGGAAACTCACAGAGCAGAGCAGCGGCAGCCCCCGGAGCCCAGCCTGTAAAATAAGCAGACGTCAGAGACTCTTCGCCCCGCTTCACCGCTGCAGTTACATTTTTATCGCGGTGTAATCACAGCGTTATTTGCGGGATTTCACGGCTGCTTACACGGCGCTATGTAGCGCAGCGAATGGCATGCTGGTGGTAGCTGTTAGACGTTTATCGGCTTTTTAATTTTAAACACCGTGCCTTGGCGGAAAGAAGAGGATTTCGTTTTATTTAAGGTAGCATGACAGGATCCTTCAGGCTGTCGAGCTAGCTAGCTAGCATTAGCTCAGTGGCTAGCTTAGCGTCCTGATGTTGTAATGAATGGAGGATGGCTTTGATGTTCGTTCCGGGGCAAACTTTGCAATTTAATTGTATATTTTGTGATAATATTTGTATTTTGATAAAGTCATATCAATTACGCCAAACATTTGCAAGTCAGAATACTCTCCATATGCTTTGGGACTTGGCAGGGTCTTGCTAACACATAGCTAGCATGCTAATAGCTACCTCAACCATTAAAACATTTGATCTTCAATTAATTGAAATCACGTAAGCATGTTTTTAGTTAATTTGGTTAGTACTTTATACATATGTAATCGAAAGTCACCTAATATAAACATGTAATCGTGCGCAAGAGATAATCTGATCGGAAAGTCTCCAGAAAAAGTTGAATTTAGCGCATTAGCCTCAGTTATTTGTTTTCCATAATGTGCAACGTTCCTAAGCTGCAGTTTAGCAGATATTTCTTTCTGTTTAAGATGTTTGTTTGGTTTTTTTTTCACAAAAATAAAATCATTATTAAACAGCTTTATATTTAAATCGTCCTTTAAATACGAATGATTGCAAACATAATGTATGCTGTCATGTTTGTTTGATTTTTTTTTTTTTTTTTTCAACTTTATTATTTCAGGTCAAGTGACGATGAACGAGCAGGAGGGCGGGGTGGTCTCATTTGACGAATATGTGCGGCAGAAGGCCCGCACTGTGCCTCAGCATAGGATGAAGGAGTTTCTGGAGTCCCTCGCTAAGGGCCCAGAGGTGCTGCAGGAGTTCAACCAGCAGGGGGGAGGAGGAGGAGCAGCGGCCACCACCACAACCATGGTGTACCAGCAGCAGGAGGCCAACTGTGTCTACACAGACAGCACGGAGGTGGCTGGATCCCTCCTGGAGCTGGCCTGCCCAGTAAGGCTTTGCTGCAGTCGCTGTTAAAGGAAATGCATCTGTAGTTATTGTCTGTAGCATTCAGTCAGCTCTGAGAAGGCCGGAGCTGATGGTAAAATGATGATTTGTTAAAGCCATCCTTGCGTGTCATCAACCACCGTATAAGAGCTAAACAAGAAAAATAAAGATTACAATCGTTTCCTGAAGCACAGCTCGTCACATTGATACAATACCTTTCATTAATCACTAATTAAGAAATTACAGAATCAAAATACCTAAATAAACTTAAGTTGTTACCTTGTTACCTTATTGGCTGAAGCTAAATTTAAGTTGCCTTTTATGTGTTTGTTGTTCTGTTACCATGGATACCTAATACAGAATGTTGCCAAAATAAAAGCATGGACCTTTAATGGCAGTAACAAGAAAGAAAAAAAGTGACTAGATTCAGTTGGCCTTTATGTTGTCTTTAAAATAGGAAAAAAAAAAAAATAGGTGCATAAGCTGCATTTCCAATAGACAAATTTATTCTTCTTAACTAGCTTTGGGCATTTTGTTGGAGTCTGAGCTGTAGCTTAATGTTTATGAATTGTTTTTATTGCTCTGAAGTGGAGAAGCTACAACTTGTTCTCAAAGTCCATGTTCAGGGATTCAAAGGACAGCTAAGATATGTCTCTCTTTCAGTCTTTTACAGCATGACTGAAATTGATCCAGGATGGACATTAGTCTGTTAACCTGTTTTCACAACATAATATCACCTTTCAGATAATAACTATGCGAGTAAAAACTCTCTTTGCTGTTCATTTTGTCACTCGCACCATAAAAGTAAATTTAGTGAGATTACGAGCTGTGCAAGCTTTCAGGACATGTATACATGATCGCAGACCGAATATAGGCAACTTGTTTATAACTTGGTGTGTCTGATATGAGAATATGTGTGCTGTAAATGTGAGGCATTCTGGTTTGATGCTTATTTATTGGCATTTCCCTTAAATGTGTCGTTTGTTTTCAAGATTTGTGTCATTAAAGATAGAAAACACAAAAACGTGTTTGTTTGTTTTTTTGCAGGTCCAGGTAACCTCAGCCGAGATTTCCCCCCAAATGTCTGTACATCCAGGCTCTGAGCAGCAACTCCAAGTGCAGGTGGGTTTATATATTTTGATTTTTAAAATGTAATTAATAAGGCATACGACACCAAAAAAGAGCTGCTGAAGATGGACATATTAAACAGTATGTGAGCCACTTAGCAATAATTGGAAATTTTCAGTGTCAATTCATAAACTAAATAACCAGCACAGTTAAGTCGCGGCTCTTTTTTTAATTAGGTGCAACTCGCAGTTGTGCAAACAAAGCTTTATTGTTGCTGTTGAAATGCAGTGTCTTCACAACATTTTTTTTTAGCATTATGTATAGTTTTTGAATTTTAACACACAAGGACACAAGAGACTACATGAGCCGTCATGAAAGGAAAAGTATTAAATAAAAGCATCTTAAGGAAGTAATACGATAACTGATGCTTATAGTACAATTATGGCCAGACTGAAGTATGGATATTTTGTAGATCTGCTGTCTTAAAAAAGGTATTATAACAATAAAAGATACGACTACATAAGCCAAAAAAAGAGCAAAATAAATACACCAAGTATAGACAGTGAGGCAAAAAACTAGTTTCTCTTTGTAGAAATAGTTTTTGTTTGGATATTTATACTCAACTTTCATCAAACATGCAACAGTAAAAAGAGTTTAAATCATTTAAATTTTCCCTGTTTTACCCCTTGATCATGTTGGATCACGTTCCTTTGCCTCCGATTAGTGTAATTACTGGTGGGTTTCTGGCAGGTCCAGATCCAGGAACAGCCGGGCCAAGCCGTAGGCCAGGTTCTGCAGGTGTCTTCCCCGTCCCAGCAGGAGCTGCAGGGAATCTCCACAGCTCAGCTGGTGCAGCAGGCCGAGCTCACAGAGGAGCAGCAGCAGCAGGTACAGGAATCCTGTTGGTGCTCGAAGATCCTGAGCGTCAGTAAACGTGACCCGTTTACTGAACGCGCTCACCGTGTTTTGCAGATCCAGGCTCAGCTGATTGCAGCTGTTGCTGGAGGTCAGCAGATCCAGCTGTCAAGCGGCGAACAAATCCAGCTCCAAGGAACGCAGCACATCCAGCTGCCTGGCGGGCAGCAGATCCAGCTCCAGGCGGGCCAGCAGATCCAGCTGCAGAGCGGCCAGCAGATCCAGATCCAGACCATAGAGGCCATGTCTCCGTCCCAGCAGCAGGATTCTCCAAGGGAGGGCGAGAGGCGGCCGGGCGCCGTCGCCACCGTTCTCCAGCCAGCAAAGAAGCGCAAGGTGGATGTTCCCCTCACCCTCTCCTACGCCGTGCCGCAGGGCCAGCAGTTGGCCACGGTTCTGACCATCCCTCAGGGGCAGCAGCAGAGCTACGTCTCCCTGCGACCCGACCTGCTGACCGTCGACAGCGCTCAGCTGTACAGCACCACAGGAACCATCACAGGCCCCACGGGCGAGACCTGGACCATCCCCGTCTACTCCACTCCACAGCAGCAGGGCGTGACGCACATCGCCATACCACAGGATGCATACAGCACCGTGCAGGTCACCACGACAACCAACGGCAAGGACAAAGTGGCGGCCAGCTCCGCGTCGAGGTCCGCAGACGGTCAGGCGGCCTCCACCCAGGAGGAGATAGTGCAGACGCTGCTGCCTGCGCAGTTCATGAACGGGAACATCCACATCCCGGTGGCAGTGCAGACTGTAGGAGGGACTTACAACACCACACAGTCGGTCCACATCTGGGACCCCAGTCAGCAGCAGAGCCACGGCGACGACGGCGCAGAGCAGCAGCTCCATCTGCAGGTTGGAAACGCATTCCTCTTACGCAGCCGCAGTCACTCATACACAGTCCTGACATCTAACAGACAATAAGTTAAAGTAAGATTAATACAGTCTGTGTGGATTATTATACTCTCTGTTAATCCAGCTTGCATTCGCAGGAAGCATTTGTAAAGTTTTCCTTCTGGTTCTGCACAGGGTCAAGTAGAGACAGGCGCCGACGTGGAACCGCCTACAGAGATTCTGGTTCCCGTGTCTCTGAAGCCAGAGGAAGGTCTGGAAGTGTGGCGCTTCTGGGCGAAGAAGAAAAACGCCGAGCTCAGCAAGCAGGAACAAACAAAACTCGCACCGATAGGACGTAAGTAGACCTGGGCTTTGAGTTTGAGATTCTAGTGTGGCTGTAAAAACGGCAGCGTTTCACTTTATTATGGCATATTTAAAACAATCTGTTTCATTAAAGCCACTATCCAGACTGTTCTGTAATATGAATCAAAGTAATCTCGGATATAGTCGCCTGTAGACAAGGTTCATACACGTTTAATACAGTAACATGTTCAATTCACTTTTCAAACATTTTCAGGGTAAGTTTTCAAACTTCCCAGCGCCATAGTTTGGAGATTAAATCAATACAAATGAACTAAATCACTGCTATATGCCATCATTTAAAACTGGTATCTTGTGATAATATTCTACATCACAGGGACAAAGTAAACTAAAATATAACAAAATGTTATGTTTTGAAAATGTACCTGGCCAAAGACAACCTTTCAGTTGCACAGATCAATAAATATTCATGATATGCTTACAAACGGTACAAATAATCACTTCACTTTTTGTAACAAATATTTTCCCCTAAGTTTATTACAAAGCTGTGTAGTTTAAACATTAAGCTCTTCCAAGGACTCTTTCCAAACCTGGAAAACACCTAAATGAAATTCAAGCACTGTCAAGGATTTAAAGCACCTGCATGAACCTGTGTACATCATCCGTCATGGTCGGTTTTGATATTTATCATAATTTCCCAAAACAAGCTGCTGTGTTTGCGGTGACATAATGTGAGTTTTTCTTCTTTACTTGCTTGTTTTAAATGGCACTCCTTTTAAAACGTGAGCCATCATGCAGCATTTACCCGTTTTATGAACAAATATATACACAGAATGGAGTCAGATACACTGGAACTACATTCAAGCAGGAATCTGAACACAGGTTATATCCTTCTTTCAGCCAGCTGGCTGGCAGTTTGCAGCTACAAGTGGAGGAGAGACACCTGGTGAAAACTGCAATCACTCCAACCATTCTTCCTATGCAGACAGTTCAAAGATATAACTTTAGCGTTTTTGAAACGATGATATACCGACCCATGACTAGAATTAAGTTGGCAGCTTAAATGTTTTTACTTTATTTGCAATTCTGATGTTTTTCGTCGCACTTTGAGGAAAACTAGGAGCAAACCTTGTCCTACAAATTCAAGCTCCAGTTTTCCCCCCTCCGTTGTGCCGCTGTGCTCAGGTCGCCAGCCTCTGCGTTTCCAGGAAGACTTGGTGTCCAGCGCTGTTGCCGAGTTGAACCTGGGACTTTCCTTGATGACTCAAGAAGCTCGGGGCTCAGAGGAAGAAGAGCTGGCGCCTGATGTTCTGTATTATGTGTTCTTGTGTATTCAGAAGGTCAGCATCTCCACTCTCTAGCATAAAAACATACCAGCATGGCATCTGAACTTCTTTAACATTTGGGGGGTTTTTTTGTAGTATCTGTATGAAAACGGACGTGTGGATGATATCTTCTCTGATCCGTACTACACACGCTTTTGCGAGAGTTTACACAAACTCTTACAGGACTGGAAACCCAGCATCCACCCTTTAGGTGAGGGGGAGTCTTTGCTTAGCTTTTATTTAATACTTTAAAAGAAAACTTGTCATTTTCTTTCTTTTTTTTTTTTCTGTTTTCCTCAGGTTATATCATTCCAAGTCATGTGACCGAGGAAATGCTGTGGGAGTGTAAACAGCTGGGTGCTCATTCTCCTGCCACATTGCTTACAACACTAATGTATTTCAACACTAAGTGAGTAATCACTAGTAGATTACTTGAATTAATCACCTGGTAGCAGATTTTAAGAACTCGGTTACTTTGCAGGTATTTCCGTCTGATAACGCCTGAGCACCACATGAAAGTGGCTTTTTCAAAGGTGTTGAGACACTCGAGGAAGAATCCCACCAACGCCAAGGACAAGGCAACCAGTATTCGCCTTCTGAAAGTGCAGAGCCAACACACCTCCGGACAAAAAGGTGACGCACACAGCAGGCTCTGGGTTCCTACAGTCTTAAAAAAAAAAATCAAAGACGACTCCTTTTTTCCATTATTTAAAGATAAAACTCTAAATTTCTTCAAAAAATAAATTACTGTTAACAGTGGTAGGTATTTCAGTGATGAATATCAGATCAAGTTTTGTCTATTTGAGCCTTTAAAGAATCAAAAAAAGTGCAAATTTACCTCTTTTATTGGCTTTTAGATCCCATAAGTTCTGTGATATAAACTGGACCTGATGTTCTTGAAGTGGGTTTGGTTTAGATGCCAAAGAAATCATCAAATTCCTTCTTTTTGGGGGGGAATTTTGTGACAAAAGAGCATTAAAATCCAACTTGAACATTTTGCCGTTTCATGACTTGTGGAAACACAATGAGGTGGATGTTTTGCACGAAATGTTGACAATACTAAAAAGTGGCAAAAAAGTCTTTATTTTAAACATTTCCCAGGTTTAGAAATAAATATTTAGTGTGGAAAAATATTAACACTGGAACTGGAAGACACTTTAAACATCCAAACAAGAACAACATTAAATAAACTGAATTATGAAGTCTCTGTAAACAAAACTGTCCTCAAAAACAGGGCTTGTTGAGACCAAAGTACCAGACTTTATCATCCACTTTTTGGTAGAAAGAGAGAAAAGAGAAAAACAATAAATCATTCAAGTGTAAATTGATCATGCGATTGATTTATCGTGACAGGTCCACAGCTGCCTGACTCATTCGTCGGTTTTTAACCTGCCGATTCTTTCAGGAACCGACGACATGTACGAAGAGCAGATTGAAGATCCTGAAAACCCTCTGCGCTGTCCCATTAAACTGTACGACTTTTACCTCTTCAAATGGTGAGCGCCTCCTCACTCCCAGCTTTCCACCAAGGTGAAAACACCCTGCTGGCGTCTCAAAACGAATTCACCTCCCTGCTTTGTTTTCCAGTCCCCAAAGCGTCAAAGGGCGCAGCGACGCCTACTACATGACGCCCGAGCCCGTCGTGGCGCCGAACAGCCCGATGTGGTACTCGTCCCAGCCGCTGTCGGCTCGGCAGGTGGAGCAGATGTTGGCCCGCATCATCGTTGTGAGAGAGATCCAGGAGATGATGGGTGCCTCTCCTGAGAGCGTGAGCTAAGCTGGGCGGACTGGCTGGACTTGACTATGCAGCGCCATCCAGACTATACGCCACCTCCGAGGTTATCAAGTAAAGCGGAGCATCTCCTAAAACAATCACTTTCTTCTGAGCAGAGCATTATGATTGCATTTGCTAGTTCCTGAGATATTTCTCATCCGACGGGGTTGGAAAGTTTTCCCTGCAGCTCTATAATTGAACTTTGAGTGAGCTGCGGGTGGCGATACGTTAGAGCGCAGGCGGATGTTTTGTTCCTTTTCTTCCTGTAGACGTCTTATTGACACGATACGAAATTACTCAATACTGAACATCTTACTGTCACGTCTTACTTCTCTCCCGGCTCTCGCTATGATAGGTTGCAACTCGTGATTACAGGAATGATTGCTCCGGTTTTGTATTCTGACTGCAACTTAAACAATGTATTGATACGTTTAAATCTGAGCAGTGTGTGCCTTTTGTTTTTTCTTTTTTTACTTGTTTTTGAGGCTTGTCGATTTTCAACAGGATCCAGGATTTTATTGTAATTATTCCTTAGACTTGATTTCCTCCCCAGTCAAAACTAGCAATTGGAGAACTACCAAATATTTTGCCATCTTTAGCCCTTCATGTATGTCTGTATAGTAGGATATTAAAGAGGAGAAACGGTTGGAAATATTCTTTCATCGTGACTCGTGTCAAATAATGCACTTTAATATGAAGACATTATATAGGTCTGTACAGTAACAAGGCTGCAATGCCACCATTTTCCACAAAACAAACTCCTTTTGCGCTCCATCGAACTCTTATAAACCTAAACTCAGGTCAGTATTGATGTAAAAGTCCACATTTAATTTAAATGGTTGTTTCTCCTTCATTCAGCAGCCTCTCAGTATAACCCAGCTTTCTGCAGACACAGAGGGGTTATTCATCATTTTTGTCCTCTGGGAACGTCAGCTGCAGTCTGTTCAGTGTTTTTATGAAGTACTTGGGCATGGGGCAGGACACGGCGACATCGGACTGGCTGCGACCCGGCAGCGCCAGCTGGCGCGCGTGCAGATGAAGAGGCAGGTACCGGCTCTTGCTCTGCTCCAGTCCGAGCTTTTTCAGCACACGGTCCGGTAATTTCTGTGAAACAAAGACAAAACACTAAGCTAGCCCCTTATAGAAGCTTTGTAAACAATTTGTTTTGTATTATGTATATTTTAATACCAAATATCTACATTCCTGAACATTCGAAGGAAAGAAGGATACCACCAAAAAGGTAATTTTAGTAGTAATAAAAAAATTACATAGATTTACTACACTGAATGATATATATTTTATATATATAGGCCAAAAAATTAGTTAGGCCATTATGTTAGGAAGGTGGGGATATTTCAAGCGTCTACTTTTGTTCATTTTTTTATAATTATGGCTGTCCGTCAAGTAAAACATCAGTTTCTTAGAGTGTTAAGTTCATTGGGTGCTGTATCCCAACAGATGGAAAGTTTAGTGGAAGGAAAAAGATTCAAATGTAAAAACCTATAAGTTCATATTTATAATTAGCAGTACTATGCATTTTCTAGTCACGATCCTACTTTATAGCACAATCAAGTAACTATTCAGTTATTCTGAAAATGCTGTAAATATCAAACATAAATCAAGAAATTTGACTTCATATTTAGACACCTTGAGCACTTCACAACAATGCTCCTCCATTATGCCATCTACAAACATTTTTAGGAGCGCTGAAGTAGTTTGTATGATAAACTCGATGTGCAGCGCCACCAGGTGTTTGCTGACTGCTGCTGCCACTAATCTGGAGGAGCTGCATGTATGTCACTTTGTTGCCCCCTGTGGCAGATTATTAACATGTTTCACCTGCGGTGCCAGTTTGCTCCAGTGGGAATATTTGTGATCTCCGAGAATGGGACAGGCCAGAGCGTACGCCATGTGTACCCGCATCTGGTGCTTCACCCCTGTGCATGCAAGAAAACAGCATGTGAAACTAAAACTGATTTGGTGAAAAAAAAAATAAAAATAAAAAATAGTAACGTCGGCTAAAGAAACGAGATCTAACCGGTGAGAGGCTGGAGCTCGACCAGGCTGCAGCCATAGCTGCTGTCCAGGACTCGGTACTTGGTGGCTGCAGCGTGGGCCTGCCGGTGGCTTCGCACTTTGGTCATGCCGTCACCGGCCTCGTTCATTCTGAAAAGCGGACTCAGCGTCATCTGAAACGAGATGTTATGAAACTAAAGAACCCGTGTACATCAGCAAGATTACCTCCATTTCAATACTTCGCTTTAATCACCAGAAATCATAAACTGGTGGTGAAGTACTTAACCCCAAGCTAATCAGGTCTGTTCTAAAAGGATAAATCTGAGCAGCTTAACACGCCGTGTTGAGATAAACACAGGAGTATTCGGTATCAGGACGGTTCATCTAACAGAACCCGTCGCCATGGCAACACAGGATGAACACCTAAGCTCTTCCATATCAGGTCATCAGCTCATAAGCTCAGCTGAAATAATAGTCTCATCAAAAAAAGAAAAAAAGGTAAAATTCCAAATGTTTAAAAAACTTCTGGCTCCAAAGTAAATAAATACTAAAGACTCATAACCAACACAAAACTAAAAAATTTGGTTTTCTCAAAAACTTGCCTGCTTAAACAAGTAAAGTTCTAAGGTTACCAGCATACCAGCACTGCTTTTAAGTGTAGCTCTGACTAATCTTTATTACACTGTCATTGAACAAATAATCAAAAATGGAGAATAAGAAACACCTTGAAATGTGGCTTAGGACCTGTAACTTCTCTTTCGATGATGGGAATGTCGATCAGCCCTTCAGAGGGAACAGGAACACCAACTGTGATCACCCTGAGGAAACGCAGAGAACCTGGTAACTAAAACAGCAGCTTTATTTAAAATGAAACCAAGCGGCTGCCGATAATGACATCCATCATCTTACCAATACTTCCTCTCCACTTGGTTACTTCTACTCAGGGAGAGGATGTGCTCCAGTACTGCTTCGCTCCTGGCCAGCAGGAGCGCTCCGGATGAGTCCTTCTCCAGACCCAGACAGGGCAGCAGCTCGGTGTCCGTCTTCGTTTTCAGCCCGTCCAGCATTTTACAGAGAACAGGAAGCACAGAGGTGATGGTCGTGACGCCAGATTCTTCTGAAAGACAGACAAGGGTTTTGTACAAATTTTAAATGTCATTCCAGTTGTTAGCAGCTTAACAAGGAGCCCTGGTATCCCTTCATTAAAATCCAGATGCCAGATTAATGGAAACGTTTTAAATCACACCACTGGGAGGACACAGTATTCACGTTAATTAATCAGAGGATGGTATGCATACATATGCCTCCCACCCCATGCATGACTCAAAAAAGGCCATTTGTTGGACAATACAGTCAGTGCAATAATTAAGCAAAAAATATATATAAACAAATACATTTTGCATTTAGATGCAATATGTGCATTGCAAAGATGTTCAACCCAAAACACCACAATAGGCATAGTTCCAGTCATTTAGATTTTTTTTATTGTTTTTTTTTTTTTACGTGCAGATGCATCCTTTGCTTCAATTGATCAAGCACACACGGTAGGTTATTGCATTTTAGTTAGTATTGATTTTCTTATTTAAGTGGAATTGAAATATTTGTTTATTTGCATCTTTTGGTGCATTTATAATATTCAATAAAAAGATTTAAGTGAAAAATCTGCAGAACGTAGCAGTAAAAAAAATATAATTTATAGATAAATCGACAACTAAAATAATCGTTAGTTGCATCGATTATTTTGGCGGTTTACTTTAATGTCTTCATATTATGTTACATTTTTCTCATGGTCACCGATGGGATACCTACTTTCACCACAATATATTTTATTTGTATTCACCCGCTCTTTCTGAACCCTAACCCAACAGGAAGTTGGTTTACCTCTGACAGGGACGCCGTAGGGTTTGTTGAGGATGACCACATCTTTATCCCGGTACAGCACGGTTCGGTGCAGATGTTTGGCCAGCACGTTCGGATGGACGTTTTGCAGCTGCGCAGTGAACCTTTTCAGCTCGGTCACTCTCTGCTGTGAGCCGGACACCGGAGGATCCCTGTCCTGTGTCCGAGTTTCACTCCGAGTCTTCGCCTTCTCCTGTCGGATCTTTCTGGCCAGGTCGATGGCTCTCAGCCGGGGCTTCTCAGCGGTGTCTGAGCCGCCAGGCGAGTCGCGCTCAGCCGCGGTGTGCTGACTCCGGCTGAGGACCGGTGCTGTGCCCGGGAGCCGGCGGCAGATAGTCCGCGATTTAACCAACAAGAAAAACATTTGGTCGCCCAGAACGGCTACTGCTTTACCGCAGTTCATTATGGTTCAAGGTGAAGAGAGCGGTAACACATGAGCCATTGAAAACAACTTTACAGGAAACACTAAGAGTTTATATCCGGGTCGCACTTTTCAAAGTAAAAGGATTCAAGCGTTTTGCCCAGTGGTACCAAAAAATTTTGCAGGTGAAAAATGTGAATTTTTCTCTATTAAAACACTGCAAAAGTTTTTCTATTATTTAGAATTATTTCTCCTTTACCTGCACAACATTAAATCAGACAAGATTTTATTATTATTATTTTTACCAAAAGTAACATTGTGGCATTTGCCTTAATGTTTACGTTTATGTAACTTTTGGGGCCAATTGTTTTTCTACTCTGTTCTGTGCAACAAGCAATAAAAAAAAGAAAAAAAGTGCACATCAACTAACTCTACACATCAACACACTTCTGTGTTAATGTGCAGAGTTTTGGTCATTTTATTTGTTTGACATGTAAATGATCTAAGTTAATTTCCAGCAACAAAAAATCTAATTTTCTGTTAAAACCTGTGCTGTGTTTAACCGAAGGATGCTTCTCACTAAAAAGTTACTGGATGTTTGAGGCATGAAATAAAAATAAAAGAAAGAATAAAAGGCAAATAAAATCAATCAATCAATCAATCAAATTTTATTTGTATAGCACATTTCAGCAGCAAGGCATTTCAAAGTGCTTTACATAATTTTAAACAGTGAGAAAGAAAAAGAAAGTAATAAAAAGATAAAAAGAAAAGATAAAATCACAGCCTAACAGGACAAGGCCTCCAGCCTTGCAGCACCAGGCTCCGTCCGCCTGTTTCGCGCGCTAGGACTTTCGCTGTCCTACGCGGATTTTGTGCATTAATTGGTTACCTGTTAGTCTAGAATTTACAGGGTTAAACAGTGAGAAAGAAAAAGAAAGTAATAAAAAGATAATAAAATCACAGCCTAACAGGACAAGGCCTCCAGCCTTGCAGCACCAGGCTCCGTCCGCCTGTTTCGCAAAAATTTTGCGCTAGGACTTTCGCTGTCCTACGCGGATTTTGTGCATTAATTGGTTACCTGTTAGTCTAGAATTTACGGGGTTTTATATACGCGCAATGACCCCCAGTCCCTCGCAAATACATAGAAGGCATCAATTGCCATAAGCAACTGTAAACAGGTGGGTTTTAAGTTGAGATTTAAAGGCACCCAGTGTTTCAGCTGTTTTACAGTTTTCTGGAAGTTTGTTCCAAATCCGTGGTGCATAGAAACTGAAAATTGTGTCGTTTGTTGGGGGGCGGGGGACACAGGAAAACAATAAGATTACAATTCTTTAACTGAAATAATATCTTTGTTTACCAATATAAAGAAAAAAAAACGAGGAACAAAACACAGGTAGGTTTCTACAAAAACAAAACACACTCGTAAAAGAAAACAAAAAGTAGACATTACAGACATTATGATAAAGACTTCACATATTTCATTATTTACATTATAGTTATTACTGATCATATGATCAAAATAAGACATTTTTGAGCCACACTCCATTCCAGTAGATGGCGGTAACGCATATCATGTTTCCTGCTAATCAACTAAAAAAACCAAGAAAAAGCAGAACAGGGGAAAAACCATCATTAAAGGCATTATTAACCAAAATATAGCTAATTATACGTGTCTGTCAGCGGTAATTAGACATAATGCAACGCTTTTCTAACTAGAAATGATTTTAAAACGCAGTTAAGTAAAGCAGAGAAAGAACGACGTGCTTGCTTTGTTTTTATGATTTTAACGGGCTGCTGGAGCGATGAAGATCACGGACAGCCTGCTGAGGAGTTTTAAAGTTGCCAGGACTTACCGACTGAATTCAGAGAAAGTTAACTGTGTGGACTACAGCTCAAATGGAGAACATGCCGTTTCAAGCAGCGACGACGACTCTATTGTTTTATATGACATCCAGGAGGGAAAGTAAGTGGGCAGGTCAGTGTTTATAACCAGCAATCGTGTGAATATGAGTTAATTTCTTATTTTTATTTTTTTTTATTTATTTTTTTTTCTGGTCCAGGCCGTTCAGTACCCTGTACAGCAAGAAGTACGGAGTAGATCTGATCCGTTTCACACAGGGGGAGGCCCAGACTGTGGTCTTCAGCTCCAACAAGCTGGACGGTAAGAACCTGCAGGTTACAGCCTGTTGTTGTCATCACAAGGCATGAAGCACACTGAGCTCTAATGAGTAACATAAACTTCATTTTTATTAACCAGAGCTTGTTTTCTTTCTTCCAGATACAATTAGATATCTGTCGCTCACTGACAACAAGTTTATTCGATATTTCCCTGGTCACACTGCAAGGTAATACGCAAGACAGTCAACATTCAGCCTTGAGAAAGTGTTCGTATTCCTTCAGGGTTTTTCATTTCACATTTTGTCAAGCTACACCCACAAATTTCTAATTCCTAATTCAATTTAAGTCTGGACTTTGACTAGACCTTGCTAACACAAATACACTTGTATCCAGTCAGTTGTATTTCTGGCTGTATCTTCCTAACAACTCTGATCAGCTTCCCCTTTTCATGCTGAAAAAAAAAATAATAATAATCCCGCAGTATGATACTGCCACCACCATGGTTCCTCATGTAGATGGTGTATTGATGTGCAGACAGAGTTAGTTTTGATCTGTGTGTTTGTTTATCACAGATATTCCTATTAAAATAACTGTCACTAACAATCCACAAACATCATCAAGTTATTGACACATTTAACAAAGTCAAGAAATATGTTTCTCTTAAATGTTGAACCTTTATTGGGAGGATGAATATCTAGATTTACCTTTAAAAATCTATATTCAATTAGGTTTGTCAGTAAAAACTCTGTCAAGTGCCACTGTTGTTACATTTTCTGAAAACTTTTAATTTTTTCTATGAAAGTAGTTTGGATGGTGGAGCATTACCAGACTAAGTTGTTTTTGCTTTATATGAACTAATAGCTCCTTCCTGATCAGTCAAAGTGAATTTTATTTTTCCAACCAGGGTAACGGCACTCTCCATGTCTCCGGTGGACGAGACGTTCATCTCCAGTTCGTTGGACAAGACGATCCGCATCTGGGATCTGCGTTCTCCCAACTGTCAAGTGAGAGTTTAGTTCAAGCTCCACTTTCTTTTACTAATAAAAACAAACAAAAAAATGGAAAAAAAAATATGTAGGATGGTGGCGTTTTATTAAATCCTGTTGTCTTGTCTCTCAGGGTTTGACTGATCCTTTGGGGAAACCTGTGTGCTCATTTGACCCGGATGGGCTGGTTTTTGCAGCAGGAGTGGAATCACAGGCCATCAAACTGTACGACATTCGTGCTTTTGACAAGGTACAAATCGCTGTCGGATGTATGACCTCACCTTCATACAGCAGCTACCGGTCTGACTAGTGACATCTAATATCTTCCTGTTTGTGTTAGGGTCCCTTTGCGTGCTTTGAGGCCAGATTAAATCGCGTCTGTGACTGGACTGGACTGAAATTCAGTAACGATGGGAAGCTCATTCTCATTTGCACCAATGGAGGCGCTGTTCGCATCCTGAATGCTTTCAGTGGATTGGTGCTGCACACTTTTTCAGTAAGACTCATAAACACAGATATAATGAAGAGACAGGGCTGGTAAATAGCTGGATGTGTCACAAGTTTTCACCTAATTTCAGGGTTACAACAATAACAAAGGCATCGCCCTGGAGGCCTGCTTCACCCCAGACTCACAGTTCGTCATGATTGGTAAGAAACAGAACTTCTTCATTTGTTTGGGTCACTTCCTGTCAGATGGGGGGCAACACAGGGTCTCACAAAAATATTCAAGCATCTTAATTTTGTCGTTTTAAAACCACAAACTAGGAGGACATCTATGATCGTTAATTTTTAAGTATTGTTTAGGCCTGTCATGTTAACAAATTTTACTGGACAATAAATTGTCCCGGAAGTTAATGCGATAAACGATAATATTGTTGTTTTGGGACAATTTTCAAGTAGGATATAAGTACTGGCATAATTGTCAAAGATCATTAAACTGGAAGACATTTAAAATATCCAAAAATAAAAACAAAACAACAGAAACAAAAAAAAATTGAATTATGAAGTTTCTGTAAACAAAATTGTCCTTCAAAAAAAGGGCTAATTGAAATCAAAGCACCGATTTTTGGTAGAAGGAGAGAGAGAAAAAAGAAAAACAACAAATTATACAAATGGAAATTATTGAGCTTATTTCAATTGATCAGGTTTAGTCTTGTTACACAGATTTAGGTTAAATCTGTTAAATCTCAAACAGATTTAGCCAGTTGTCGTCCTGCTGGGAGTCGAACCCACAGTAGACCTTTTGTTTGTAGGTTTCACAGGATGATGAAAATAATTTTTCTCTGATATTTTCAAAGCTGTTTTCTAACCCAACCACTTTCTCCTCAACCTTTCTGGACTTGATCACAAACTGCACTGAAGCTTAGGGTCGTAACGCAGCAATACGTGATAAGATTAAACGGGTTTGGCCGCTTTGGGCCGGCGGTGTACACAGACTCTGTCTCGTGCAGGTTCAGAGGACGGAAGAGTTCACGTTTGGAGCACAGAAAGTGGGATGAAGGTGGCCGTGTTGGACGGCAAACACCCAGGCCCTATCAACACTCTGCAGTTTAACCCCAGATACATGACGTTTGCCAGCGCCTGCACAAACACGGTGAGAGCAAACACGTTATGTGACGCTCTCAGAGATGCACTGCTGAACAAAGTGCTTCTGACTTTGCTGCTCATGTTAATCTTTACTGTTCTCGTGTGTTTTCCAGTCTCTTTGGCTCCCGTGCGTTGATGACTTATAAAGGCTGGAACAGCTTCCCACCCAGCAGTGAAGTTGGATTTCTTAATGTGTTAAACTCCACTTTGGCACAGTTACAACTTATTAACCAAGAAATTGAGAAGTATTTTTAAATGCCGTTAATTTAGCATTTTAAGTTATTGTTCCTGTTGCGTCAGTATTCTGTGAAAGGCTTAAAGATGCTGTCAGTTCTTTGTAAAAAAAAAAAAAATCTTTTTTAAGATCGTTTAGGTGCTCATTTTTTATAATTTTATACCATGTCTTTTTGTACTACCTGTTCAATGGATAGTTTTTACTTAGGTTTTTAATAATAAACTGGTATGTTGAAAAGAGAAACTTTCTTTTTTCTCTTTTGCCATTTTTGTTCTTAGCATCCATCCATCCATTTCAGTCCAACATTTCTCCAAAAACCTGAAACAAAAAAGCAAAACAAGCTTTCATGGAAAGCACCAAAATGCAAATATTTCAGTGAGACTCACTGTGTCCATATGTGATAAAGACTGAAAACTGTTATTTTTTTTATGTCTGTTGTTCACAACTTTGACAAAGATGGAAGAATAATGTCGAAACATGTCGCGTATATTTCAGCAATGTGAGTGTTGAATAACAAAATAAACTAAAGTGCAAAGTTTGGATGCTGCTTTGGGAGACTTTTGCTTTTAAAATTTTTAATTTTCTATAGCTTAAAATATATAATACTTCATCACAAAGTTTTCCAGTTGCATAAATTCACACTTAGTCCAACACCTGAGCCTCGTTTCCCTTAGTTGATTGTTTTTGTAGCTCAACGTAGATTGGCTTGTTGAGATGGTGCTATTCTCAGTTCATTTTCCATAATTATGTCATTTAGTTGTAGTGAACGTTTGGATAATTTGGAGTATTGGAAACTGGAAACTGAAGGAGCTCTGAGAATCAGAGACAGTGATGTGTCTTCGTGCGTCTAAAACTTTGTCTTCCTGAAGCAGAGGAGGGGGTGGGAGCCGCGCTGAATAATGTATACATGCTTGGGTAGTGTACTCACCACAGAGTGAATAATGGATGATCCCATCACAGGTAACCTCACAGGCACACACTTGTCTCTCTCTTACCGACACCCGTGTGTGAGCATGTATGTGTGTGAGCAAATCATGTGTGAATAAATGAAAGAAATCCAAGTTACAGCAGTTTAAACTTGTACCAATTCATTCTCATTCTCTCTAAACTTTTAGAGCTTCTGGTGTCTTTTCTCCTCGTTAGCTCGTTTTTGTGTCTGGTGATTGTGATACCAACGTCTATCCAGATATTTTACATCACTATGAAGCTCCTCTTACATAAAAGTCGGTGTGGTGTTTCATGTCGAACCCTGCCTTACTAACGTACTGCTTCCCCTTAAACTTTTTCACCTTTTCATTCACCACAACCACAAACTTCAATAACTTTATTAGGATTTTGTGTTAAAGACCAACATAACATTGTGAATAACTGTAACGGGGATCTGAAACACTTTTTTTCTTGTTAGTTTTTGTTTTACAAGTAGAAATTTGAGCCTCTGAGGTTTTTTCCCAGGATCGCCTTGCATCTTTGTCCATCCGTTTCCCCATGAACTCTTACCAGCTTCCCTGTCTCCACCTACAAGTTTCAAGGTCGCCAATGTTTGCTCAGTTTGTTGTTTTTCTGCCACACAGCGTTTTTCACACAGGCCACACATTTGTCACTATTGTATATATTTTAGTGCTCGATTAAAAAGTCGTCCAATCGACAGATATTCTACCTGAGCAGTGGATCTCTGCACCTCCTCCAAAGCTTGCTCTGAGCTGCACTGTTTTCATTTTGTGAAGTTGAATTGAATAGATTGGTAAAACGCTCAATGCAGGGTTTGTACGGGTTCAATCTAATGTTTTACTAAAAGCCCAGATTTACAGTTGAAACCAGATATTTGTATTAAACTTCCCCTGATTAGTTAGAATTACCAAAATTATTCAATGTGATACATTTTTATTATATTTACTTTCTTCCTGCTATAGAATGTAGAATACTATCAAGAAACATTATTAATAACATAATGTCACATGTTAAATGATATTTAATAGTGAATTGAAACTTTTTACTTTAATTTGTGTTATTTTAATCTCCAAAGTGTGATGCTGGAAAAGTAAAAGAAATACCTTGAAAGTGCTTGAAAAGTGCTGTGGGGAAAGTGTCAAAGGTTGACATGTTTCATTTAATTTTATTCATAATTCACTAAGTTTGAGGCTTTTGCATGACGAAAACGTTGTGAAGACTTTATGATAAAATGCCACCTGGTGAGTTTTCTGAGGTTGTACCTGTAGCTCTTCATTCATCCACTCTCTGCTCACAGGCACAAGATGTACTGGCTGCAGGTTCGTGGGAAGGGGGAACTATGTTCAAATGTAGCGATCAGATTCTGGCCTGGTGTCACATTTCTGTGAGCAGGTGGCTGGAATTTGAGATCACGCTGCTCCATCTGCCTGATTGTCCATTCTTTGTGAAGGAGTGCTAAAATGTCGTTACACGCGACACAGAAGCAGTTTCTGGAAACGCAGTTTTGATCTCTGGCCTGAACATCTCCGGATCTCCAGGCGGGACAGGAAGCGACCCGTTTAAGGCTCCCCCTGGCGAGACCATCACCGCTGCTGCCATCGATATGCAAAGTGTTTTAAGGCGCCCATTGGGGAGGCATATCCACTGACAGGCACATTATTAATCATTGGCCACACTTCCGGAGATTGTGTTTCAGGCGTTAAGGGAGCTCCCGAGTCATCCTCCAGGCGTTTATGTCACTTGTACGTGCTTCTGTATCTGTCTGCCGTCGGAGGAGAGGCCGCTCACCTGCAGGGAGAGAGAGGACACCGAGGACGTGGAAGGGGTCTCTGCTGCATGAGACGAACGGGAAACCGTGAACAGCGACTGCCAAAAGATGTCACACCAAACTGGGATTAACGGTAAATCATTGAATCTAATTAGATTGGGGAGTTTTTTGGGGGGGTAATTTGAAGCACTTTTGAGCAACAACTCTACAAACTTTTGTGTCAAACATTAGCAACTTCATCAAGTTGTATTAAAATTACAAAGAGTCACACAAAATGCTTAACTGAAATGTCTGCTTGGGTGATGATGAACTCATTCATTCAGCAGCAGTGTGTGTGTAATGGAGTTCACTTACTGGAGCACTGGGAGGACTGGTTAACAGAAGTGTTCCTCTTTCTCACCTGATCTTACATCATTCATGAGATCGCAGGGTTTGGTAACCACACTGAGACCAGATCAGGAACTACAGCGAATAAAGAGTTTCTCTGTTTAAATCTTTTTTCTTTTTTTTTTTTCTGAACTTAAATCGGTTTTGTCCAGCAGCTGCAGCGGGTCAGAGGCGTGTCGAGTCAGTTCTGAGTCAGTTTAGGTGGCGGTGTGATGAATACCTGGCTGTGAATCAAGTTTTCACTCCTCTGTGGAGTCACAGCTTCTTACTTACCAAACTCTATCTCAGTTGCTTTCACCTGCAGAACCACAGTTTGTTTGTTTTTTTACTTTGTTTTGTCTTATATCTGATTACTGCAGCTACACCCGAGCTCAAACAGTTCTTGGCTCAAGCGAGAAGAGGTTCCATCAGAATCATGAAGATCATAATCAGCAATGGTAAACATTTCTTCTGCTCACAAGCCTCTTGTTTGAGTTCGGTGTAATTTTTTTTCCTTGATTTTTAGTTTTTTTTTATTATAATTTTTTTCTTCTGCAGAGGAGCTGGTGTTGGATTCGTTCAGAGAGCCGGTGCAGAGCTGGGACAAAGACTACGATCAGTTTGTGCTTCCTCTTCTCACGCCTCAGGAGCCCTGCTACATCCTGTACCGCCTGGACTCCCAGAATGCACAGGGATACGAGTGGACGTTCATCGCCTGGTCACCTGACCAGTCACCAGTAAGTCTGGATACAAGATATTCATTAATGCACAAGAGTAATTTGAACGTACAGAGAATCTGAGAGAAAATAAGTTGATTGGCTCCAAACCATTTTTATTTCTTTCAAATCAGATTCTCTTCTAGTCTTTTTATGTTTTTCTTTGGATTTTTGATGCTTTTCCTCTAATTTTCATTTCAGTGAGTGACAAATTTAGTTTAAATGTTTCGGCATGTTTGTTTTTTAAGTTTCCATAATTTAAATCATTACATAAATGACTTAATACCTTAATGACTTAAGTCATTTTCTTTTAAGTTGTTTGACTTTTAAGAGAAATGACTTAAGAGTCTTAAATTACGTTTAAGTCATTTACTATTAGGCACAAACAGATTCTTAAATCCAATTAATGATCAATTCTTTTTTTCAGTGAATGACTTTAACAGTATCCTGTAAAAACAAACTTTTTTTCTTTCTTTGATTTAGTCAAACGCAAAACATAAAAATGTTTTATTGTAGAAATGAGCTGAAATTAGGATTTTTAAGTGTTGCAGAATGAATTGCTGTGTAATTTATGCAAAGAAATTCAAAATAAAACCCAGTACAGTATAATTAGTGTTTGTGAGCATAAAGTTTTATGTCTTTCCAAGGATTTTGAAATCAACGTAGCTCTCAACTTTGACTGGGCCATTCCAACAGATAAATATGCTTCAGTCTGGACCACTGTGTTGCAGCTCTGGTTGTGTTTTTAGGATTGTTTTCTTGATGATTATTTCAATAATCGATTCAGTGACAGAAGGATGGATTGCAAAAAAAGTCAGGCTCTTTGTAAATGAAATGTAGTGAAATGTAGTAAACAGTAGTTTAAAAGCACTGGTAGTCGCCTTTTGTAAGCTAAATGTACAAGAAACCTTTTTATTTCTGCTATTTACATCAAACCTCTAATGGACCTAAAATAAAGAAATAATCTCCAGTTCAACTTCAAATAATCCTTTTGCTGATTGTGTCCAACCAGTCAAGTTTTTTTCTACTATTTATTTTAAAATGGATGGATTAATGAAGCAATAATACTTTAGTGAAAAGGATTTTGCTTAAAAGCTACAGAAAATTCTTCCCATGTGTTTTGTAGGTGAGGCAGAAGATGATGTACGCTGCGACCCGTGCCACACTGAAGAAAGAGTTTGGTGGAGGTCACATCAGAGACGAAATGTTCGGCACAGTCGAGGTGAGGAAAAAATAAAACATACTGAGGTCCACCGGCTCGCTGCCTCCTGAGTGTCACTAACCAGCAGCTTCTTGTCGACTCTCTGTCTGCAGGACGATCTGTGCTTTCAGGGATACATGCGCCACCGTTCCTCCTGCTCCTCTCCACCTCCTCTATCGTCGGCCGAGCAGGAACTACAACGAATCAAAATCACAGAGGTGCTCAAGAAATCACATGAGCTGTCTGGACGTTTAAAAGTATCTATGCACATTTTAATGAGATGGGGACAAACGTTCATGTTTTCTCTTTGATGTTTCGAGAGTACAAAGTAGTCACTGTGAAGTGGAAGGAAAAAAATATGTATTTTTTTGTAAAATATTTTACAATTACAAAGTCTAATGCAGGGGTAGGTTAAAAAAATACAAATAAAAACCTACAAACCTCCAAGGGAGCACCAATTTAGTCCATGATACAAAGATGGAAAGGCAATGGCAAACAGAGCGTCCAGGCAGAGAGAGGGTTGATCGGTTCCTCTGGAGGAGCTGCAGAGATTCACAGTTCCAGTGGGAGAAGCAGAATCTGGCGAGGAAAAAAAAAACTATTGCTAAAAGAAAACCATAAATACAGCATTAAACATGGTGGTGGAAGAATCATGCTCTGGGGAGGCTTCCACCTAGCAGAGACAGAGATAGCAGGAAGATATGAAGCTACATATTTTGTGTCATTATGTTCTCTACTGAATTTATCAGAGTGGAAAACAAAAATAAATGTTGAAATCTGCAAGATTAGTTGTTATCTTTCACACAAAATACCAATAAAACACTTTAAAATCTGTCTTGCAAAAGCAAAACAAATCCAAACAAGTTCTAAATATCTTTACAAGGTGCTGCATGTAAAACGTGTTCATTGTTAGTGCTTGATGTAGTCTTTTTCCTTTCTTTTGCTTCAGGATAAAGTTGTCTGGGTAGGTTGATATTTCTTACACAAGAACTCGAGTGTGTTCATTGCAATTAACGAAAGTCAAAGAAAGCAACTGCTCTTTACTTTGCAGGATGAACGCAGAAGAATTGGAACCCCAACAGCGCGAGCGAGGGTCTGTCAGCTCTGATCATCTGCTTCGTCACTCATTTTGCACGCTGCAGTAAGAGAGCCGATTTCATAACGCCCTGTGTTTTTTTTTTCTCCAGGTCACAATGGAGTTTGGTTTAGACAAGAGAGCTCAGACTCTTCAGGGTCTCGCGTTCCCTTTGCAGGAAGATGCCAAACGAGCTCTGCAGCAGCTCAAGCACAAGCGCATCAACTACATCCAGCTGGTGAGCACAGAAACAAGACCACTGTGCAATCAGTGGGCAGTCTTTGTTATAATAGTGAGTTATATTTAAAGTGATTTAGTCTCTCAAAGTTTGCTTGGATATGTTGTGCTCCAGAGGCTGGATGTAGAAAGAGAGACGATCGAGTTGGTTCACACCAAACCCACAGAAACCCACGAGCTTCCCTTCAGGATTCCCACAGACTCCCCACGATATCACTTCTTTGTCTTCAAGCATTCCCATCAAGGCCAGCTGCAGGAGGCGCTGGGTCAGTACGCACTCAGCTTTCATGAGACGAGATGAAAACATGCAGAAAGATCAATGATGTCAGACATTTTTTATATTTCACCACAAATGTGATTTTGGACTAGAATCGTTTTGAATATTTCCTCGGGTACTTTTGGCAAATTATCTCCTGAAATTTGTTTGATGTAACAAATTTTTAATCAAATTTAAGTTGACTGGACGACTTGAAAACTTAAATGAGATTTTTTTGTGTGCAAAATTCACATTTTTTACATTTTAGTTCTACTTTTAAAAACAGCCCAAACGTTTTTAAAAAATAAAAACGTCTATTCAATATTTGGCAATAAATTAATGTTTCTTGGTGTCTGAAAAAATGACCCGTTTCAAAATCAGCAGGCACGGCCCCTCACCTAGCAACCCCAGCAAACCCAGCCCGTTACCTAGCAACCACAGCAAAGCCCAGCCCATCACCTAGCAACCCAAGCTGAGTTCTAAGACTCCAGGAGGCTACTGTTGTTGCTGTTGTTGACTAACAATCCACATGCTGCTGCTGTTTTCTTGTTGGTTGTTCTGAAGGAGCTATATCTGCTTTACAAAGATCTACGGTTGTATAATTATGCATCTGTTTGCAGCGATTTTCACACATTTAAAGTGACAGTGGCCCAAAAACAGCTCATTCTGGAAGGAGCTCAAAACAGGCAGAAATGACCAGACTAAAATTTAATTGAGTGATTTTGTTCAAAAAAATGTAATGAACAAGTTTTGTATAGACCATAGACCTATCGTAACCTGTTCAAGGAAGCATAATAAGACACTTTTAATATTCCTTCCAGTAAGAATAAACAATGCTGGCATAATTAATTTTTTTTTATTGTTTATGTTATGAATAATTTGGGCTTTAACTCTTTTTTTTATTATTGTGAATGCCTGTGTGAGTGATTTTTAAATTGAGCTGTTTTTACTGTCTTTATCTCTTTCAGTTACATTTAAAAGTATGAAAATACGTCAATTTAGCCGATTTCAGTGAAAATGGCATTTCACCACAAAGGCTACCAAATCTTAGTGACTCAATGGACAGATTAGAGTCGAGTTAACCACGACCTTTCTGAGCTTATCAGCTTCGGTGTTTCCCCTCGGCTTCATGGCCTCGCAGTAAACCAACCACATGCTCAATGCGGTACCAGTCAGTTCTGTTTCTTCCGCCGACAGTGAATTAAACGATTGCGTAACACAAAAGGATGTCTTCCTCTGACGCACCCAGCGAGTGTTATTACTCATCTCGGATGTTTCTGCCAGCTGTACGAAGGTTTTGGTGTCTTCATTTCCTGCTTCAGCATTTAGCGGTGAAGGAAGCTTAAACTGACGGAGTAGCTTCAGAAAAATAAGCTCAAAGTTTAAGATGTTTTATATCTATCAGCCCAATGTGGTAATTCTTTACAGAAACCTTCTCAACCAAACATGGGTTACAAAAGATGTTTTTCTTTGTCTTAATTACATTTTAATCCTAGTTAGTTGCTTTGGAAAGCCAATTTACACTTCATAATGGGTAGCAGTGATGTATTCAGGTAGTTTATTAAATGGCAACATGTTGTAAAAACGACTGAAGACTTTGTCACCCTGCAACCTGCCCTAACTTATCTGGATTACGGTTAAGAAAACTTGCAAATATAAAGTTTTGAGGTTGGGTTTTGTGCTTTTCAAACACCCATGTTATGACATCAGAGGTAAATGAACTTCCGCTTGAATTAAATATCAGTTTGTATGATTTACTCATCATTTTGGCTGTTGCGTTTACTCCATACTATCAATGACTTGGTTAGGATTTACCTTGTAAGTATCTGAGTTGCTGGATGTCATATTGGTTATTAAAGCTGCAGTGTGTAACTTTTATTAAAACGTTTGTTTGAATATTTGTTGAAACTGTCAGCATGTTGTTATAGTATTGTATGAGACGGATAATCTGTGTAAAAGTCAAGCTCCTCTGCCTTCTCCCATTGCTCCAAATACTATCTAGAAACAACCAATCAGAGCCAGGAGGATGGCGTTAGCGCTGTCAATCACTCTCGCTGTGGTGCTGCTCATCCCACCACCTTCTTACTACTCCCCTTTCTCTCTGCTATGCCGCAGACAGCATGCCCTGTCACGACAAGTTGCTTCTCTACCATTAGCACATTGAGCAGCGAATACATGAGGTTGATTGACAGCGCTAAGACCCGCCTCCTCACTCTGATTGGTGCATTTCTTCAGACGGCATAGGAAGGAGGTGAAGGAAATTGATCTTTTCACAGTTTATCTGTCTCATAACAAACTGCCACAACACTGCACTTTGAACAAATATGTAAAAAAATATATTTTTTTATATAAACTACATACTGCAGCTTTAAAGTAAGATATAACTGATAACTGATCACCTTCATGCTTCCTCTAGTGTTCATATACTCGATGCCTGGCTACACCTGTAGCATCAAGGAGCGGATGCTGTACTCCAGCTGTAAGAACCGGTTACTGGACGAGGTGGAGCAAGACTACCAGCTGGAAGTCACCAAGAAGGTAGAAGTTAACCCACATAACCGGCAGATTTATATTCAGCATTGATGACCACTGAGTCAGTCATTATCCCCTGGTTTGTTTGCTTGTTTGCTTAGATGGAAATAGACAGCGGCGACGGTCTGACAGAAGACTTCCTGTACGAGGAGGTGCACCCCATGGAGCACACCTTGAAGCAGGCCTTCGCTAAGCCCCGAGGCCCAGGAGGGAAGAGGGGCAACAAGCGCCTCATCAAGGAGACAGGAGAGAACGGGGAGGAAAACTAGACATTGCATCCATTAATCATACCCACAGAAATTTAGAAATGTTGAAGAAATGATCTGCTGTTTCACTGCTAACCTTCAGGCCACTGATTCTCTGTTTTTATTTCAATTCAAAGTTTTTAAAGTGAAATTGAATGACATGTAGATCTCAGATGCATTTCCCCCTGTCCTCTGAATCTCCTGCTGTCCGTCATTGAGTCAGTCAACACACAGCCAAGGTTTTTACACATCAAACATCTGAAACTGAATGTTACTGCTAACTATATATTCTATATATTTAACACCAATTTGGCCTGTTGTTAATGTTGGTGCAGCGTATTTCTGTGGAAATGTCTGTTGAAGGCCTGCAAAGATGTACAGTGCACTCAATAGTTATTGATAACCCTGCAGGAAACCTTGAAGCAAATTAATCTTTTATCTCAGTAGTTTGAGAAAACAAAGAAACTTTAATTTTATTACATTTATTCAGTGGAGAAACACAGTTGAATATAAACTAACCCCACACTGCCTGTGTAAAATAAATGTTATGAAAGCATTTTTTTCTACTCGATGTTTCAAGTTTATTAGACGTGTAGGAACCTTTAATCAGTAATCAATAACATCCTGTATTTGTTTGGTATAAATACATTGTAACACAGAAGTAAATCTTTCCTTAGCCTCTCTTAAAATCTACAGAGACACTAAAGTGTTTTCTTCTTATCGTCTCAGTCAAAATGTCACCGTAATCGTAGATCTAATTGGTTTTTATATTGTGCACCTGATGTGATCCCACTGTGGCTGATTTTTTTTATATCTCTCTAATATCAAAACACGTAAATTTTAAAAAGTTTAAAACAACTCTAAATTGCTGAAAGAGGATCCAGGCTTATCTCGTCATCATGCACAGACAGCAGGACGGTAAGGAAGGTAAAAATAAATCTCTTAAGCTCTTGCGGTCACCAAATCTCCGTGGCAACCATTAGATGCTATCTGCATGCCAACCGGTGGTTTGGGAGACATGCTGAGAAAAAAGCCTTTTCTCTCCTCACATCCTAATTGTAAATCAGTGGAGTTTGCGAAACGCCGCCTGAGCTTTGACTGGTAAGATGAGACAAGATTGAGCTTTTCAAGAACAAACACTTTTGTCTGATGTGAGGCAAATGATGAAAACGTGGGAAAGTACCTCACTGCTGAGCACTGCGTAGCCCTGTAATGCTGCGGGATTGTCTATCTTCAAAAGGCCTGGAGAATCTTGTCAAAATGCATGATAAGACAAACTCTTTGAAGAGTTTAAATAAGAACCACACATTTAAGTGTGGTTCTTTGGCTCCTTAAGCTCTTTCAGTAGCTTAAGGAGCCAAATCAACACAGAAATGGTTTATTAGACACTAAACAGCCTTCCTTTCCTTGGTAACCTCAGTTCCTAGACGGATGATCTAGATCATGAAGATTGTGCAAAGAGGAACGGTCAAAGATTAACAACAGGGTTGGCAGTTAATGCAGCTCTGGTGACTGGAAAATAAGAATAAAATATCAAAATGTTGAGTTTTTCCTCCTTCCTGGAATAACTAGTTCCAAAAGCTTGTCCTATTTTCTGCATCTGCTGTAAAATATTTACTTCTCTGGGTCTACATCACCATGAGACAGATTTTTGTAAAACATGACAATTGCTAGTTTAATTAATAATTAATTTATCTTGGTAGCAGACTGTGCAGAAACCATGACAAGAAATGATGCAGTGATTTCCAAAATCCAGAAGCTTCTATCTGCAGCATGTGAATTAAATTGTTTACTTAACAGCTGATCAGCATTAAAATCATAAAACAAATCTACATTTTAATTTCAGGAAGGCATAAAAAAGATCGCAAACTGTTGCGGATTCTGGTTAAAAGATTTCAGCGCTGTTGAAGGCTAATATTCATTTTTAAACCCCAGACCTCCTGTTTTCAACACACACTTTTCAGGTTGTTCTCAATTAATGGGCACACACTGATGTGGGTCAGGTCCAGTGGGATTCTTCCAGTTGGAAAAACCAGTGAGGTCCTGGAAAAAAAGCAGCAAAGAGAACCAGGTCACAGTGACATGGTGATGTTTCACAAGATGACGGCGCGCCACAAACAGTGGTTTCCAGCTTTGTTCTTTAAAGACTAAAAAAATCTACTGAGATTTCTTTAAACTAATCAGAGATTCTATTATGAAAATTTGGGATAAACGATCTGATTAAAATGAAAACCTTGCATAGGAGGTTTCTCTATTTTTCCCCAAAACTTCTTTCTATTTCTTTGCTGAAATAATTTATTCTCTTCTCTTACTTTAACCCCCAGAAAACCAACCTGAAGCTCATATTTTTAACATCGTTTTGCAAACAATTTTACATTTTTGGAGCATTTTTCCTGTGATGTAAATGTGATTTGTTTTAATGCGAAAACACAAACTCCTACCAAATAATTTTTGGTCTAGTTTGTAGTGCAAATATCTTGGAACATTTAAAATACTCAGATATAATTAACTTTTCAGCAAGAAATAGCTTCTTGTTTAAATGAAAAATTCCTTAATATTGATGTAAAAGTGTTAGATTTACTGGCAGATTATTTTTATTTAAAATATGGGAAAATGTTTTGTTCCACTGGCAGGTTCTTTCACTTATAACTTTGACTTAAGTTAGTGACTTAAAACTAGCTCCTATTTTTATTTTATTTATTTTTTTGCTAAAAAGTTACTTATAAATCTGTTTTGTCTTATTTCAATTGTACTAAAATGTTTCCACCAGACCAAAAATAATTGATAAGATTGTGTTTTTTCAGTGTACTGGATTTAAAGGATTCAAATCTTGTTAAAACTTATTTTTACAGCTTAATTTTAATTTTATCGAGGTCATAAAAAGCAGCGAGAAATTGCTGTGAAATCTCTGCTTTAAGATGGATTTTCTGTCACGTTCTCTGTGCTATTCTGACACTGCGATGTAGCATATCTGCATTAAAATCAGAAACTACATTATCAGCTCCTCCAATCAAAATTTAACATTTAAATGAAACTTCTTGTTTTACATGGTCATAAAATAAAACATTTTCTGTATTTCCCAGTGTGTGTGTGTGTGTTTTCGCTGACTTCTTCCTGACTGCATGTGTGTAAGTGATATCCCACAGTCACTTGGAGAGCAGCAGCAGCAGGGTCACGGGGTAGCCTGTGTTTTCCAAGAAGCCACTCTACCCAGAAGCCATGCGCTGTGCTGCTTTCATGCCTCACGGGAAACACGCCTGATGTGAACATTTCTTCTTGGAAACAGAGTTTAGGGCTGAACAGCAGCTTTTCAAGTGGTCATTATCTCAATACATTGGAAATACGGGCCGGGTTAAGATGAATCTTAGAAAACGGGCTGACTCGAGATAAGGAGTTGATTCCAAGAAAACAGGAGCTGCACCTCAAGCAGGACTTTCAAGTAACAATCACTCACTGAAAGATGATAGTGAAATAATTATGAAATCTGATAAGGCACCAAAGCATTTTTTTTTTTTTTTACAAACAAGTCAACTAATATTAAATAAATTCTACTGAGTTTCTAAAAAAAAAAAAAAAAAAAAAAACCGAAAAATATCAGCCTAAAAGCTTTAAAACTGAAGTTAAGAGTGTCATGATATAATTAAAACTGCCAGTGTTTGTGTTTCTGTTTTCACTGAACTGGAGAACAGCAGGCGACATTTCATCCAGATCAAGTTACAAATATTACAGGAAGCAGTACTGGCAGACTTCAAAGTAAAAGCAACAAAACAGAAAGCAGTCCTGGTTAAATCTGCAGGTACCTTCATTCAGGCAAATCCTGAGAAACAGAAACCGTTTTAAACTCCAGACATAATATTATCTTTGATTATATTATCAAAGCTGCAGCATAAATAACAAATACATTATTACATATTACAAACCCCAATACACTGGATTACTAATTTTAAACAATCTACAATCCTGGGAACGTCTTGGGGTTCCCCGGAGGAGCTGGAAGAAGTGGTGGGGAGAGGGAAGTCTGGGCCTCCCTTCTGAAGCTGCTGCCCCCGCGACCCGACCCCGGATAAGTGGCAGAAAATGGATGGATGGATGGATGGATGGATGGATTGATGGATGGATGGATGGATGGATGGATGGATGGATGGATGGATGGATGGATGGATGGATGCAATCCTGAGCTGAAAGCAAAGTTTTTCCTGATGCAATAGAGACTCAGATCTAAACTATCTATGGAGGTCTGAAAGTATTATAAATTAAATATGTTGTTGTTATTCAGCTGTATAAAAAATTATATGTATAAACTATAATTAAAGAAGATTTCTCTAAAAGTGTTTATGCTTTTTCAAAAACATTTCATGGTTGTGTGCATAACACTATGTATTTTTATTTGTTTGTTTGTTAGTTGCTGATTCTTTATAGTAAAATGCCTAAGATGTCTAAAGAAAACACACAATCCTGCATGCAGAGCTTGTTGATGGTGATTCAGCAAAATTGCATATTATTATGCAAATACACACAGGACAAATAACCATGCAATCATAACTAACAACAATTTAGAGAAAGCAATTAGCCAAGATGTGAAGTACCTGAAAAGAGCACATGGGGAACATGCAAACTTGATGAAGAAAGACCCAAGCCTGAGCCGCCATACAGCCCTTATGTTTACATTAACATACATAAATCGTTATTTAATGATGTATTACTTTAGTAATAAGGGGCACTCTCGGTATTCCATACCTTCCTCTCTGTCAGATGGAGTCTATCAGTATCTTTACTAGTCGTGAGTTTTTGGCATAAATCTTCCTGATCGCGTCTGTATCTTTATGTTGACATTTGCGCAGGAAGCGGTGTGTGTGTGTTTGTGTTTGCTTCACGGAGCGCCACAACGCTGAAACGCTAAACCTTTCCTAGAAACGGATTCCCGGGAACCTCCAGCTGAACCGAGCTGCTGTCTGACTGTGCAGCAGCACTTTCCACAGAGCTCACTCTGCAGCTGTGCTCTCATTTAAGCAGAGGAGCTTCTCCTGTCCAGACTGCTGGAACCACTAAGACGTTTATTCACTGGATTTAGGTTGTTGTTTTTTTTAGTGGTGGAAATTATTTTCTTTCTCCTTGATTTCTGGTAAGTTTATTTCAAATATATATTCAGTAATTATGGACGTTTGAGCGTAATGCATGTGCTGTAGTTGCTGTTATTTGTTTTTTATTCATTGTTTTTTATTCATGCATTGTTTCCCTCTTTCCTGTGGATTCCAAAATAAATAAATATTTATTTCTGAATGAACACATTATCAATCTATTTGACATTATTATCGTGCTTTCTGACGGAAACATACAATAACATGCGCTCTGGGTGATTTCAGGACACTATTTATTTGTTCTTAATTTAATTTAGATCAGAAATTTACATAATCTCATTATGGCAGTGAACATTTCAAGCTTTAATAATTTAATTGAATCAGTCTTAAAGAAACACTTTAGATAAAGCTCCGGTTATTTTAGGAAATAAGAACTGGCCGAACAAGTTTGAACTTATGGGGGACTTTGCAACAATAATTTTACATACAGTTCCAGTATTTATATTATTTGAATAAACTTCCTTAGGCAAAATAAACTGCACGCCTTTGTAACCACCAACAAGCCTCTGTTCAGATTTTTTTGTTTTTCTTGATATTTGATCAGTTTTCTTAACCGAGATGGCAACATTTATTTAAATTGCCTGGTTTGCTCAGCATAGACAAAACTTTTAAGCAAAGTCTGGACATTTTGATTAGTTTTCAGCTTATTAAGAGCAACTATAATGTGTTTGCCCTGTTGGACCGCCTAACTGTGTCAATTTCATAACAATGTAGAGATGAACTTGAAGCTTTTGCATCCTTCTTTTTCATTTCCCTGTCTGTTTTGTGAAATCCAACATTAGAAATGACTGCAAACAAACCCTCAGCACAATGCTACCACTACCATGTGCTCACATATTGCTTACTTCATCCATCTACTTTGTGGATCACAAGTTTGCGTATGATTTGATGGGTTAAAAGCTTTTTGTGTATGATTTGATGGGTTAAAAGCTTTCAGGAGCCCCAGTACTGAAGCAGCGTCTGCAACCTGCAGCTCCGAGCTGCAAGCAGTTTTTTTCAGTTTGGCTAACAATAATAAATAATCAGCTAACTCTTTTAGATATAGACATAATTGCCAATGCAGTTTATTTCACAGACTAATTGCACTGAAATCCAGGATAGTACTAAAATTAACATCAATATGTTTAGATCTAGTTTTCTTTCTTTTGCCATTAGGTTGGAAACTGTGTGTGCGCAATATAAATTTTCTGAAATAATAAAAGAAAATGCAAACATTTTATAAGCCTAAAAGTAGAAATGAAATTGTGCTCATTGTAGATATTTATCAAAAATTATAGTTGCTCTATTTCGTAAAGTTGGTGTAACATTTGTGGCTCTAAATTAGTTTTATTTATCCGAACTAGGGGAATAAAGGTTGCAGACCTCTGCCCTAGAGCAGTCATAGCACGATTCAGTCTTGGATGATTGAAAATAAACCTGCAGAACAATAACTCACCTGTGAAAGTCGATTCTTGATGCTAACTTTTATATTTCCGGCTCTGATCCAGTGTCAGGCCGTGATGGTTGCCCGTGCAGCGAC